GGCATTTTGGGTATTTTGGGACATTTTAGGCATTTTGGGACATTTCACTGCATCTGGGATATTTTGAAGCATTTTTCGCATTCTACTGCGTTTTAGGCGTATTGAATGATTTAACGCATTTTAGGCTATTTTAGACATTTAACATCATTTTGAGCATTTCGGGGCATTTTTGGCATTTCGTGTGATTTTAGGGTATGCTATGGATTTTAGCATGTTTTAGCCATTCTTTTTCATTTTTGGTATTTAATGGCATTATGACATTTTACCGCATTTGGGATATTTTGAAGCATTTTTGCATTTTACTGCGCTTTAGGTATTTTGTGGTGATTTAGTGCATTTTAGGCATATTAAGTGGGCTATTTTAAGCATTTTACATCGTTTTGGGCATTTTGAATATTTTGGGGCATTTTGGGCATTTCGGGTGATTTTAGGGTATGTTATGGATTTTGGCGCCTTTTAGCCCTTTTTCCGCATTTTAGGTATTTCATAAAAGTACGCCAACCCGGTTTTGGAAATTTACTCCACTGTAAAATATTGTGTTTGGTGTATTTTTATCGCTCATAAATTTTTTAAATGTTTCACTTTTTTTCTCAAGATAGTAGGTGCAAGGAATTTCTGACATGCCCAAAACAGTCTCTATTATGGTTTGTCTCTTTTACATACAAAAAAAAATACTGGTATTAAACATATATGGTTCGAAAAAAATTTATATCGACTAAAAACCACCTTAATTAACCCCTGAATACTCTCCCCAGTCTCTGCATGGCTGAGTCTCTGAATTAAACAATAGTACAATACCTGAAATCATTCACGAAGACTCCACCATTGTTGGGTATACCAGTGCAGTATGGTAATACAGGTTATATCCCAATGGTAGATCATAATCTCGATGAATCAGCCTGAATTCTTCTGTAGCTAAATTTTCATTCCACAACAAGAAACACAGCATGTTTATGAAAATTTTAAGAGCACATTCAATTGTTATTCCCAAATGATTGCATATAAAATCCAACTTTGATTTAATTTCAAATACATAACTTCGAGGTGTGGGACGGCACTTGTAGAGAAAGTGGACCAACCTACTGCGACCATTCTATTCCTCGCCACAATGAATCAAACCACGCAGGTTATTATACACTGAAGCCAGAGTTAGCCAAACTTAACATCAGCACACGGAGGTGCTTTTCAACATCTCTCCGCTTAATAAAGGCTCGTCAAGACAATTAACCAAGACCATTACACACTTATACAAACATTGTGGACACTTGATCTCTTGCTCAGCACACAAGCATCACCGAAACCAGTTCTGTGTTTAAAGGCTGCACCTACTCCTTCGAAAAGGCTGGGACAAGTACCCAATGCTACAATAAAATGCGTAACAGTCTTGATGATTTTATGATCTTTCACGCTCAGATCCATCTGACACGGGAACTCGTGTTAAGTTTTCAGATCTCTTGAGACTTTTCAAAGACAATTTAAGAAGATATAAAGAGCGCAAACATAACCGATTAAAGATCAATCGAACAGATCTACTATCGATGTTTACTGTTGACCCTGTTTCCCTGCTCTTTGAAGTCGGTTCTTGCTCAAATACGACAACTTCAATTCCTGACACTAGCTGTTAGAAGATGGAATTGCACTTTGTCCGCCATCTTGAATTGGAGTCAGCACTTTTCCTTTATAAGGGGAGGCTGGGAGGGGAGGCCAGGCCAGGGTGGGATCCAACCAAAACCAACACCGTCATATCATGGATAGTTAGTATAAGAAATAAAGAAGAAAGATCGGACTTAAATATTCCCCAAAAATACAACAGAATCAAAGAAGATAAACAATAAAAACTTGTGAAATAAATACATACAATTTAGGCCCAAAGTGTACCGGCGAATCAAGCGGCTATACTAAACACAAAATTTGAAAAAATAAACTAAGCCGTTCAGTCATTTATATTGAGTTTCCTTTCGAGAATGATGACTATTTTGACGTTAAAAACCAACTAGGATTGTTTCAAAACACTAAAATTTCTAAAAGAATGTAAAAAACACTAAAATTTCTCACTAAAAACACTTGAAAAACGTTTAGGCGTTTAAATCTTGACATTTCCAAGCGTGTGCCTTATTAGTCGTTTTCTGTGCATATACTTGTTAGGGACGGCCTCCCGAGACCAGGAAAAGATTAAATACGTTAAATTTATCTTCGCTCTCAGGGCTTGCCACTGTAGCTGATTCGGTCTTCGACGCGCTAGGCGTGTGCCACAAAGCATACTCTGTTTCTCACTGAGACGTAACGTAACATTAACATTCCTACCTTGTTTGCACCATAGGAGAACACATTTGCCGCACATTTCTCAGCGAAAGAATTGAACCATCCGACTGCCATTAGATTAGATTAGATTAGAGTCTTTATTTCAAGAGGGTAGTACGTAATAGTGCAGAAGCACTAATAAACTTGTAGCCCTCAAATGACAAAAATACAACAATTTCTAAAATACAGTATTTATCTATATATTTACAAATTTACTATAAAATATGATTCAGTATATATAATACAGTTAAAAATGGCTAAGAGATTGTTGGTGTGCATGTAAAATTTCAAGATATTTATTCTTAAAAATACCGACATTCAAATGCCGTCTTAAATTTAGCGGTAGGCTGTTCCAAAGTTTAATTGTGGTTACACTAAAAGTTCTACCTCCTTCAGTTTCCCTTTTATACTTTGGACTGATGAAGTTAACTTCAGCGTATCTTGTATTTCTGGAATGTTGCTCACGATTTAATTTTAGTGTTTCACGTAAGTAAGGAGCAGTATTGCCATTTATGCTTTTATAAGCAAATACAGCTTTATTTACCTTACTTTCCTCATAAAATGGGAGCCATTTCAACCGGTTAAAGAGTTGGATTGTCGATGACATATAAGGAGCGTCTAAGATAACTCTCGCAGCCCTCTTTTGCAACTTAAACACTATGTCCAGATAGTCTTTTCGACAATTTGTCCACACAGTACTCGAATACATCATAATGGGCTTAATGACATGATTATAATAAAGGAGTCTTTGATGCATAGGCAAGCAGCCCTTTATACGTTTCAAGGTTCCAATACGTTTTGCTAGTTTTTTACAAATAGCATCGACATGTTCATTAAAAGTCAGCTCTTCGTCTATGTGTAACCCAAGCAATTTCGCACTTGAAACTTGTTCATATTGTAAGTCCAATTCTTTTGTCTCCATTTTTCCAGATAGTCGCTTTCCTGTAATTAACACAACTTTTGTCTTTTTCTGATTCAAAGTCATCTTGTTGGCTGCAGCCCAATCATTAATACCAGTAATTGATTCATCCATGGTTTTTCGCAGTTGTTGTATTTCAGTGTGATCAACCGATGCAGATAGCGTCGTATCATCTGCAAATAGATCCACTTCGGCATTATCAATATGCATCGGTAGATCATTTATGAAAATTATAAAAAACAACGGCCCCAAGATCGACCCCTGGGGAATTCCGTGAGGAACATTCAGCATTGATGATTGAACGTCATTCAGTTGAACACACTGCCTTCTGTTGTGCAAATAAGATGTAATCCACTGCACAGAATGATCATCAAGACCATAAATTTCCAACTTGGACAACAACAAGCGATGGTCTACCATGTCAAATGCTTTCTGATAGTCAACCAGAACCATACCAGTTACACGATTATTATCCATGTCAAACAATAACTGATCAATTAACTTTATCAAAGCTGTTTCAGTGCTATGAAACTGTCTAAAACCAGATTGTCTATTGTAGATCAGATCATTCGCTGTCATATATGCATAAAGGTGATTATGCACATGCCTCTCGATAATTTTAGAGATAACAGGCAAGATGGATATTGGACGGTAATTCATAACATTGTCACGCTCACCGTCCTTAAAAAGTGGAATAACTTTGGCCGTCTTCCATCGCGTTGGAAAGACCGCTGTTTCGAATGAGATGTTTATGATTTTTGCAATAGAAGGGGCTATAACAGGGGCTGCTATCTTAAGAAATCTTGCGCTGATATTATCCATACCATTAGCGAGTTTGAGCAAGGAAACGAAGTACGAACACGAAGACGTGTTTCGGCCGAGGTAGATTGGGAATAGTAGTCTTCGTCTTAAGTCTTCGTGCAGCGGGATATTTGAATTGAGCAGTTTTGTCAAAGTTATACGACTACGAACACGGTTCTAATTTTGTAAACATGAACAGAGCTGAATACGAGATGGCTATTTTAGCAATGTTTTCAGAAGATGTTTTGGAAGTGGAAGATGTTGTGCTGCTTTACGGTTTAAACATCTCAAAAGAACTATTCAATATTTGACTTGAATATATCTTATTTTGAAAACTTCGTTCTGACCACAGTGAACTTTGTCAAAATATTCGTCCTAAACCAGGACAACAGGACGAAGACGTTAAACCCCACCGCTGACCTTAAACGGAGTATGCGCAAATGATGCGCAGACATTAAAAAATTGTGAAGTTTGTCTTTGTCTTCGTACTTCGTTGCCTTGCTCAAACTCCCTATTGACCAACGACCAACACAAACTCTTTTAAATGAGTGTTAAAAAAGTATGATGGGATTCATGCGATCATATAAGACTATATGAAACAAGAGTTTATGTTTGGGAAGTTTGTATTGAGCCTGTAGCAGCATCGTGATACCAGACCTACAAAGTGCTGAAGTGCATGATAAACTCTGAATCGAGTGTATTGTGAATATCCACGCGCCCTTTACCGTCGTCCGAGTTTCCGCATTGAAAATGAGAAAAAAATACTTTACATCGTGAAGGAAACTAAATTTCCGATTTACATTTTTCAGAAATTTTCGTAGAAAAGATTTTGTAGAAAAGATTTTTAGGATTACATTTAATAGCCTGTTATAGTACTCCAGCGGAAACAATTGTACAGTCAATCCAGGATATATTGAGGTCACTGATATTTGTACGCCTACGCCGGAAATATTTTTAAATTATACCAAGAAACAACCATTTACACGGAGGCCTTCTTCCTCGCTGCGTCTTATAACTTCGTCGTTTTCTTCTCATTGGCCAGCACTGGCAGGGAATGCCATGGAATTGCATTATCATTAAATTGTACGGATTAAAATGTACTTAACTGACGAAACAAATCGATTTTTAGTTGCCAGCATTACATGTACAGGTAAGAATTTGTAAAATAGTAAAATTTGTTAGTATACCGGAAGTTTAGTACGACAATATTGATATAGTGCATGCTCTCTCGTAGTTTAACTTCTGGTATTTTCACAGCACAGTACGGAGCTTTTTATATGAGTGGATTATAACATGGCGTATCAGGCTAATCTAAGTCACAGAAATCGTTTTTAGCCCATAACAGAAAGTCTCAATCAAATCTAATGCGATTGTTTACCTAACTTTACGCGGCTGTACTCAGGACTTTGAGATTTATTTCATGCGATTCTACACAGTAATTAACCGAGCGTAAGAAACGAAACAGTCGTCTAGCTAAACACGGACAGCCTTGGCCACATCAACAAACCAAGTCGACACATACATACCATTGCATTGTCATATTGGGTTTCATAAGCTATTATGAAGTGACTACGGGTTAATAAATGAAATAATTTAAGTTCCTCAATGACTGAAATTTGGTCGAGATATTCAGATATAGGTTCACTTGCTCTTCTCTTTATGCTGTCTTCACAAAATTATTGTATAAAGTGATATCTAATTTAATTAAAGTATTAGGGCCGTGGTATAAAGCCTTGTTACCATATAGTCGTGAACAAGCCAAGGTGGCTGATGTGATGCGTATTTCTTTGTGTGTAGTACAGTCAACAATGACTGATTTGAATACAGAAATTAAGACAAATAACAAATTTATATCCGGACAATTTCGTATTCGTGAAAATGACTTGTTCACGACAATCATACAGTTAAACGCTTGTTTACATGGAGGGAGCTATCCCGGCCAGGCGAGGACTGGAAAACTGCATATATATAACGAAGGTCATATGATCAGGTTAAGCTCTCGGCTTTGATCTGATGCGCTTTTTACCTCGCCTATCCGGGATAACTCGCTCCATATAAACAGGTCCTAAATGGAAACCAGGATAAAAGCATCATCCGATCATCCTGCGCGGCAGACGGTCACTTGGAAAACGCAAAATGCTAAGCTCTTGTCGCTCTCACATTATCTAAATGTCTATCCTGCTGTCTGGTACAACAATTAATTCACTTATCATGAGCATAAGGAATTCATCAATTTCATCCCGATGACAAAACAACGTTCATGGCGACATCAAGTTGAAAGGCCTGGTTTTCACTTGACAGTGATTCTGTGATTAGAATCGGAATTTCCAAATAGAAAATGCTATGTTACACACGATTTCCTAGAAATATTCTAGGAAACTAAAACCGTGATTCGCCGATATTTTGAGTGATAACTCACTGAATATTTTTATCCTAATCTTTGGTACAAACTAAATAAAACTTAGGATTTACCAATTTAAAGTTTTGAATGTGTTCGTAGAAACTTTGACAGTGTAAACTCGGCAATCACAGCCTCGTACCCAGGCGCTTAGTGGAAAAACTTATACCGTTGCATTCAGCTATTATACAGAGGTCAGCTGAGAATAATCGAGCGCGTGAGTGTGCTTGGGGTGGTTTTGACAAAGGATGATTTCAACATATAAACATCCAAATGAATTATACAATATAATTCTATGACATGACTTAGCTACATTCAGGTTTTTACACCTACACCGGTTTTTAAGAATGTTATTTAAAAATTTTTAGGGAGGCTGGAGCAATCAGTCATAGTTATAGTCACTTTTGCAAACGAAAAGAAATGAAAATTGAGTGAAAGCAAGCGCGGTTTTCTAGTGACACGTTTTCGCAAGACTTATTTTCGCGCTCTTTCAGCCATATCATTTTTCATCATAATCGTGATGTTTTGAGTTCGTAAAGCCCTGGTCAAACGAGAATGATAGTTGATGAGAGTTGAGAAGCGAGAGTTCGCACGAGAGTTTTCCAAGCTCTCGATGCGACGGTCAAACGAGAATGAGAGTTGATGAGAGTTGAGAACGAGAGTTGATTACTCTCATCAACTCTTATTAACTCTCATCAAAATTTGAACCTGTTCAAGGTCGATGAGAGTGGATGAGAGTGCACGAGAGTGTATGAGAGTCCGCGGTCAAACGCAAGCGAGAGTTGCAACTCTTATCAACTCTCATCAACTATCATTCTCGTTTGACCAGGGCTTAAGCTTAGTATAATGCGTATCATTTTTTCTGTATATAGGGAAAGACTAAAATACCTCAATCATGGCAGCAAAACCATTTTCTAAAGAACGATTGAATTTTTTTAAGTTTTCAACCATTGTCTTCGATGAGTTTCCAAAGGTTCTACGCCGAATATTTATCATCATGTGGGACAATGTGGTTGCACCAAGGCCAGGATTTACTATTTGGTACGACACTCCGGCGGTACGTAGCAAGCTTCTTGCTTCTGAAGGTGGTAAAACTATACCAACAGCCAAGTCAATCGAGGAATGGGACTGCACGGCTTTATTTGCCGCCACCATTTATGCAAAAATATTTGGTCACATGGGATTAACTTTGAACGACCAATATTTAAAGAAAATTAAACTTGCCCCAGGCTCTTTTCATAAATCAGTTCAAGGACCAACTGGTGACAAGATGGAGACCTACGCCTTGGCAATTGATCAACTGCGATTATTGAGAAACACACTTTGTCATTCATCAAAAGTTGATATAATTCAATCGGATTTTGATAACTACGTTTTTTTAGTAAAAAACTCTTTGCAGATACTTAACATTGACACTACTTTTGTTGATGATATTTGTCGCATGAGGGAAGATGATTTTTCCATGGAGCGAGTTCGAGAGTTAATAAGTTCATGTGAGATGAAAACAGAATTTCAAGCGCAAAAATTATGCGACATCGAGGAAAAACTAAATACTGAATTGAAAGTGTTATCTGATATTCATACGTTAGTTAAAAGTATGAAAGAAGAAAAAGGAAATACGTCAGGTTATGTGGATTTATTTCTCTTCAAGATGAAATGATTTAAAAAAAAATACTGCGTTTTACGACGCTGTTACATTATGCAACTTTTCTTGCAACTTTCAATACAATTCTATTCTTGATGGTTGAGGCATATTTCAGTTGACAAATACGATAATTTCTTGCGATCTGCAAACGATTTCTTAGCATTTCGAACACTTTCCACTAATTCACATGCCACAAAATTATAATTGAACATTACAAGTTGCAAGGAAAGCTGCATGGAACAACGCCTTGCCCTGAATCCACCACTGGATGGCTCAATTTAGACACGTGCTATTTGCTGTCATTTCATAGAAACCTATAATATAATAATATGAACGACTGGAAGATTAAGATCAAAGGCTATTTCGCAATTTTTTTTCATTTAATCCTTTTTTACTAAGAAGCTACATAAAGGTAGCTATTTTAAATGTGTGATTTGTTGCTTTCAGCTATAATTAAAAACTGTTAAAGCGAATCGTGCGCTCAATTCCGTACAAGAACTACAACTTTGCTTTCAGTATCTGACTAGTAAACTCACACACATACTAATACATGTTAGGATTTCTTCCTTTAGGCGAGAGAATTTCTATCGTAGCCACGCGCACTCACCACCCGGAACAAAATGAAGTGGTAAAATTGCTAGCATTTGAAGAAGGCGATGTTGGGTGGGTTATAAAGAAAACGGAAAACGGTTGGTGGTTAATTGAATTGCAAGGGCATGAAGGATGGGTGCCCGCTGCATACTGGAGGGAGGTAAGGTAGTTTCTATATAATTTATATATCTATTTAAACGGACCCAGGTATTCTGGTTGATAGGAAAAAACGCTTTGATATTAATCTTTTGATAACTGCATGCACTTAATATTACCGTTGCTGTATTAGTATTCAGTAGTGTAGCCAAAACGATAAGTGGGAGGCCCATATTCATATACTCGTGATACGCAGGATTAATTTCTTTTCAAATCAATTGTCTTTACAGTCTTTTAACATGAATATATGAATATGCTCCCCCCCCCAATTATCAATGCTGGCTACGCGACCGTTAGTATTTTATTTACTTTGCTCAACGTTATTAATTTTTATTTTTTGCAGGAAGAAGGGAAACACAGAACGGACGAATCTTTCCATGGTATGGAGATTAACCTCTGTATAAACTAATATACTTTTCTGATCTGTTAGGAACTAATTCATTACGAAGAAAACAATTTTCTGAGCTAACTAGGCCCAAGCTTATATTATGAAATTATTTGAATGAGTCGATATCTGATATAATTATACTATTTGAAACAAAATATAACGTTAAAGGTGTTAGTAGTAAACACCAACGGACTCTCTGCTGCATAAAGCAAGCAATTTATGGACACTTGGTCAACATCAAAACAGTAAAAAAAACCCAAAGACTCTTAAAGTTTGCATAATAAATCTTCTCCTTGATTTCCTCTCGACGATATTCTGTGATGTTCACCTCCCCTTTGGCTAATGATATAACTATAAGCTAATATATAATAAGGTATTATAAGCTTATAAGTTGGTTTGTTGTTTGCGGTATAATCATGAGCAGGTTTGTAACAGAGGTTGAGCAACAGGAGAAGTTCTTCCCTCCAAGAGAGAAAACTAAACTTGTAATCTTCATTTTACTATATTTACCACATAAAGTTATCAGTCCACCAATATCCGTGTTACCCTCCACCACAAAAAACTTTTAGCGTACAGCACTGGTCGTTTGTACATGCATGGATATTATTATTATATTGTTTCACATTGCTTTCTAGCTAAAGTGTTTTCAATCAATTTTTTAACTATTTTATCTGACTTAGATCATCCCGCGTTTTGGGGTAAAATGTCGAGGGAAAAGTCTGAGGATATCCTTCGAAAGGTAATTGCATTTTTTTAATATAGCTGTAAAAATCGTCCAAATTTCTGATTAATTATATACAGGGTGTCCCAAACAAAAGGCCCCTGCTAAATATTGACAGATAACTATTAGGTGAAAGTGCAATTTTATCATCAAATCAAAATCTAACATCATATCACTAATGCTAATGCTTCAAAATTTCATAACAAAATGTTGAAATTTTTCATTTGTTCAAGTTTTCCATAATGATTTACTTAGTTTTAAAGTTTGATTTCAACTTTTTTGATTTAACATTTTTGACATTTACAACATTTTATCTAGCTTTTCATTCCCCCTTTGTGTTTCCCTCTTGAAGTTCACGCGCTATATAGTTAGCAAAGGACATCCTTTTTTGGGGACACCTTCTACTCACCTGATATCCTTCTTAAATTTTGTAAAATTTTCAAGTGCTCTGATTTCTTCTTTAGGAAGCCGAAAAATTAAGTTACCTCATCAGGGAAAGTGATAATGTAAGTAACAGTTGCACAAAAAGTTTTACCATTCATCTATATCCCTAATTTTAACCCTTTGGACGCCCCTTTCACCTTTCGCTGGTGGTACCAGAAGTTGCCAACATTAACTATATACAGGGTGTATAAAAAAATAAGGCCTTGAGAAATTAAACGACTATTGATATAATTTAAATGCCTTACAAGTTTAAGGTTGTGCTTTTTACCGGTAGATTTCGATCAAGAACCATTTTCAAAACGTGTTTTGTACCACAGCTGTACTTTACGTCTGGATAAAAGTCTCGACAATAGAAAGTCTTTTTTGACTATGCATTAGTATTGTGCAGAATTTCGCTTTTAGAAGTTCAGTCAAATTCCCAGCAGCAGAAAGGCTTGTGTGCTTGTAACAAAGATATGAAATATATGCACAAAGCTGACTATGTTTTACGCATTCATAGGTTTAGCGTATAGTGACGATTCATTTGAACTATAAGAATAGTTTAATTTTTAAAGGTCTCCTTTTTTATACACCCTGTATAGTATTCAATATTGATTACGAAACTCAAACTGTAAAGCTGATTGTAATATATTTCCCTTGCTGATCAGGCTTCCCACATTTTTGGCGACGTAATATATTCCAATTTGTTTTGACCTTTTGTTTCGTATTGGCCATTTTTATCTCGTGCTTTGCAAAAATTCTTCACAACATCAGTCCCGCTTGAGTGCCATAGACACCTCCCTTTTTTTTTCAGAGTCCCTCATTTGCGATTTTAAAAAATTGTAGGTTGGATCTTACGTCATTTCTGTCAAAATAGCTCAAGACCGGTGAGTAGATTTTATTGAAAATATTATCTTTATGATTTTTACGTTATTTTTATGAAAATTTTATGAGTATGGTGTTTCTAGAAAGTGCCATGAAACATGGTTCAAGATGATCCAGTATGGATCATCTATAAGTCTAAAAGTTGCTTACTGTTACCCAAAAAAAGCAAACGTTGCTCCAGGTGGCTGGAAACCAAAACAGTTATTCAAAATAACAGTTGCCGAGCACAATCAGGAAAGGCCTAATGCATGCCGCCACCCCTCGCTATTTCAAACTGAACACACAATTCGAATCTGTTTATACTACAGCTTATATTTCTATCATTCGGTCATGTATATAATTATATAGTTCATGACTCTTGCGACAAATGTCTAAATTCAAATTAAAATTGAATTGAAATTTAATTTACACTTTCAAAAACACATTTTGAAGTTTAAGTGATGGTGTAATTGAATTTCACGGTTGGTTCTGTCTTTGAAAATCGACATGCCAAGATAAAAGTTGTAAAAATCAATTGCATCCTTACCGAGTAGTAAATACGGAATAAACAAAGTAATTTCTACCTTTTTCACTGCTCAGTCTTGAACTGTTTTCTTCTATTTGGTCACATGGTTGACAAAAGCTTGCACAGGGACTTCACAAAACGACAGTTAAATTCTCAAATTGCTTCTCATTTTAAATACAAAGTCTTTACTCGATCGTTCATATTGCACACATCACGCATGCGCATAACTGAATAAACTGTCTCTTTTTAGATTTGCTCACTTTCCCATAGTGAAGTGTTCATCAGGAAGGCTTAAATGTGGCGACAAAGAATTTTGTTCTTTCCTCGGAGTAACGAAGTTCTATAGCACGCATCCTTTGTTTTACACAGACGGTAGACAGCCTGTCTCTCTTGGCGAACCGTTTTTAAAAAGAAATGTGTCAGATACGTTTATCGGATACAACGCAGTTGCAGAAACTCTCTTGGGATATAAATAATATTTTCAAGTAGAAAAAATGTTCTTTTAAAAGGCAACGCACCATTATAAAATCTAACATTTTTTATTGTTTGTAGATAAAGTTCAAAATAACTGCCTAGTTTCGGAGCAATTCAGTATCCAATATTATAACTTTCACCTTATATAATCCATATATCTGTTTTAGTTTAGTTTATACTCATTAACGGCTGTCTGGTGTAAGCCACCGTAATATGGTCCTTCCACGATCTTTGCTGTCTTTGCATGTCATGTCATTTATTAGTCTACATTTATATGTTAAAATTAGTAGTAAAAAGGTATATTAAATTTTTTTAAAGTAGTTTGTTTCTCTTTTTGTTTCTCTTTTTCGAGTTATCATGCAGGAAAGTAAGAGGAATGAGGATTTCAATTGGATAAGAAAATCAACAAAAACGTTTTACACAATAATATTCATGATAGAGAACATTATAGAGAACAAAACAATATAGCTAACAATGAAACAACTGGATAAAAATAAACCAATCGTTTGCCTGGGTTAAGTCTAATTAATAAAACTTTTGTTTAACTCCCGCGCGTTCTTTACACATTTTCTGAGAAAAAAATTTCAGGATCGATTAGGGACACACTTGAGACTGCGTCACTTCAAGTTTTCAAAAAAGGGTAAAATTAATCGTGATCTAAATTTTAGTGTGCTGGACCACCTTAACAAACTGTAAGGGAGAGTGAAGGCAGCCCCTAGACTACAATTGCCAACACTCACTTTGCAAGTCACCACCATGCAGTTTACTTTTTTTCTATGCGTACATCGCAGATTCAGTAGCGACACTTTCGAGGGATTTTATCATTTGAAATATAAAAATATTTTATGGAGGACTTGCTTCAGTTGAGACGGAGAACGAACCTTCAGTTGAAAGGCAGTGCCGTTGCCAGCCCGAAAATTTAGTCATGCCATGCTAATATTTTGGTGTTCATTGGCTGTGAAAACAATGAATTTCTAAAGAAATGAATAATGATAATAACGTAAAGTTTGCATAGCATGACTAAATCGCCAGGCTAGCTACGCCACTGTTGAGAAGTACGGGAACGTATGGGAACGTAAGGGAACGTACGGGGACGTAGGAAAACGTAAAGGAACGTACGGGGACGTAGAGGAACGTTGGGGAGAGCAAAGGAACGTAGAGGAACGTAGAAGGACGTAGTCACGTAGAGGGACGTAGGGGATTGCAAAGATGGAGTGATAGAATCGATGAGTGACTAATGAGCTCAAAGTTCCAAAAATTATCCTTATTTTGGAAAACGAGTTTCTTGTTAGCAAAGTTCCTCAAAGTCTAAAAAGTTATCAAAAAGTCGCTGAGCACAATTTGTCTGTGCCTAGTAGAGGAGCTGAATAGTTTTCTACTCTCTCGCAGCAAAGGTGATTAGATTATGGTCAGTAATGATTTGATTGTACGCTTAAAGTAGAAAATTAAAAATAAAGCAATGACATGACCAGTAACTACCTGTGCCACGGCAGCCAACTGCATTGAAAGCAATCAAAGCGTCTCTTAACAACAGAAAACAAATGAAGACAATTTACCTCAGGTTTAAACAGCAAAGTTATTTTTCCTTAAAATAAGTTTCTTTAAATCGCATGGACTACGTTCTACATTGTGAACTTTCCTTTTATTAGTAAACTTCTAACTTAACACGCAAAAAATTAAAATTATGCAAGGCCAAGGAATAAGTTAATTTTATGAAATCCGTCCTAAATTCAGGCTCAAGGTCCTAAAACAAAACAGGTCCAATGTCATTTGTGGTTGCCACCTGTAGAATATTTTACATTTTAAAATTGAGCCTGAGTTTACTTGCTCGGGTATTTTCTTCATACTATACGCTATATAATAATAATCATAGAATAATTCTACCCTCTTTGGAGTTTAATTTATTTCACATATATGACAGTTGTGAAAAATGTTTCGTCACAAGATTATACCGGCAAATTGCGGGTACTCAAATACAGAAAATTATTTGAAATTCCTTCATTACGAGATTCATCAAATGAATTTAGCTTCGGCTGAACTTTCGATCTGGTTTCACGAAAACTTCAAAGGACCATAGGCTCAGCTTGAGCTGAAATTTTCTACTGTAACTAAATTACCTTTGAATGAAACGTCCTTGTAATCATGCAGCCACCTGTGTTGTGGTAACCAACCGCATAAAATATATCCATAGCAATGGCATATAAATAAAACCACTTAAACTCACGGTACACAGTTGTTAACACTATCAGTACCGGTTTGAACAAATTGTGGATGGTTTGCAATTACGCGTTAAGGTAAGTTTCACACGTTCCTTTTGTGGAGTTCGCATCTTCTAGATTTTTATCCCATTTTGTGTTGTTTCTTCCTGTAGCTGCCTGTCGCAGCAAAAATACCCCCTCCCGGTCCGTACACGTACGACTGTGTTACATAACTGTAAACGTCCGTATATACTTATTGTATTGTATTAAATCTACTATTCACATCATCAAAATTGCTTTAGAAAATGAGTCACAATTGGCTGATGCTTTGCTTTGCGATCGGTGTTCAATGTTTGGTGTTTCCACTTACAAATGCTGGCCAAGCAGATTCGTGTTTTTCCTCTTCTTTCTCAAGAGCCATTGGTTACATCCTTCAAGGATTTTTACTTGGTGAAATAGAAGTCGATTCGATTATTGAATGCAAAAGACGATGTGTTGCCATTGCAAATTGCAATTCATTGAATATCTTGTCAAATTCAGACGGAAGCTTCATGTGTCAGTTGAACAGCCACCTTAGAGAGAGTGGCTTGAAGGAACAATTTGTACGTCATGCGTCCGGGGAATATTATGGTTTAAAGGTAAGTAAGTAATCCAGGATAACACGTATATCCTTTGTTAGTGATACGGATAGCCGGTGAATTAAATTCAGTTTTAATTAAGAGGTGCCGACAACCTTCAGGAAAAGATTGCTTTGAGGATGCTCTCGATTTTGACGGTATAAACTATGTAATCGAATTTTCAAAAATAACACCATATTTTATCATTATAGGAAAAGAAATTGTGCAACGATAATGGAAATACTTGCAGCTCCGGTGAGAACCTTTCTTTATAAGAAACATTCCACTGCATGAAAAACCGCGTATTCACAGGTGAATACGTGCGAATATGAGTTCGAATATGGTCCATATTCACACGTATTCACAGATATTCACTGTGAATATCCTCGGAATATTGGGGGTATTCCGATGTGAATACCTGTGAATAAAACACACCGCGTATTCTGACCTAGAATACCTTCGAATACTCTGTGAATATTTTTCAAGACCTAGTATTCACACTTCGGCATAGAAAATGTGATTGTACGCATGAATACGGGATAATCAACGAGTTATATTGTGTAAATATTGCAGGAAATGCGTTTATATACCACGGAATAGGCAAAGGTTGTTTCAGTTCAATGCTGGTGTCAACTGTTATCGAGCATTTTTTCTCATCACGGTCAGAAATTGAAATTGCGCTTAATTTGTTTAGGCGACAGACAATAAAGACAATAAATGTTACCAAACGCACGATGATTTTTATTTGATTAATTTTTTTGCTGCCGCAGGGATGTCGAGTATCGTATATCCTCAGTCGATGAGCGCTGAGTAGCCTCGTAAGTCGTAAAAAAGCTGTATAAAAAGAGAAATATCCATCAATTTCTTTAATTACCTGTGTAAAAGAAGTTATATATAAAAAATACTTTTATTTTTGCTTGGATACGTAAACACATGGGTAGAAAGTTGATGATTCTGTATCGTCAAAAGCATCCGTAATCTATACAGTTCAGTGTTGGGAAATCGTAGGAAATTTCCTTTGGGAAATTTCCTCTTCGACATGTTAGTGACAATTTTTGCGCCAAGGAATTGCGGCGAAATTGCGAATAAATGGCGAAATTCGGAGGTCGTATAACAGTAACAAATAAATGTCTTTAAATGATTCCTCGCAAAAGTTGTCCAGTTCCCTTTGTTTACAAAACGATAACATGGCACAAATGTCAATTGGTTTCAACCAGGGCGCTTATATATAAATGCGTGGTTTCAACAGAAGTTCAAGCTGTTCAACTTTGAATTGTTAAAGATGTTCGCGATGCCCCAAAATAATTCTTGTGGCGGCGCTAAAATCAGGTAAGTTATTTAATAAAATAACAAGAGTTATGTCATACTATAGTCCTGAAACAACACAACACAACAACAATAGTGCGAGGCCAACGCTTTTACGGCTGGGCTCATCACTTTTTTTGTTTTTATTAATATAAATAGATTACTATTGTGTTTATTGTAGCTAATTTGTACACAGCTAACTGTACCTGCTTGTAAATAAATAAATTGTATGATGGTTTTCATCAATCCTACCTCCATCACACACTAATTATAGTAGGTACAAATGTTTGCCATTTCAAAGCCATACTCAATACAAACAAAATTTAAAAGTTTGCCAATACTGAAAAGGGACATTACTTTCTTACCTACCACAAATATTCAGAAAGCTGCTGTAATCATAACTTTAACATAACATAACCCTTAGATAGACGTTTCAAGATGCATTGAAATGAGGTGCATTGGTGCATTTCATGAGGGTTTTTTATATTTTAGGCAAAATTTATATATTATAGATATATATTGTTATATAATTGTCACAGAATAGCTAATGATTGATTGCCAAAAGATTGAAATCTTAACAATCAGCTGCCCAAAGACAGAAATCTTAACAGCTTAGAAATCAAAGCCAGACTGTGTTTTTTAGCTATATATAATACATATTTTTTAACAAAATAATGGCCTATATTTTTCCTTTTAGCATATATGAATTATATTTACACTAATATTTACCACAGAATAGCTATTGAACTGGTTGCCAAAAGATAGGAATCTTAACAACCAGCTGCCCAAAGACAGAAATCTTAACAGCTTAGAAGTTCATGCTAGACTGTGTTTTTAAGTGAAGCCTTTTAACATTGCCCTCATCATAATTTATAACTGAGACTGTTTACTGATTTGTTTGCAATTACTTTTCCGTACATAAATTATAATCACAATACTTAAAGAATATACCATTAAAGTGTAGATGAGTTTACTACAGCTTCTCGATGTTTGCATACTAGGAGTAGCTATGTGTATATACAGCTTTAAGTTCATGGAAGAATTTGTTTCCATTTTTACCCTAATTGATTAGCTTCCAAATTATATGAATGGTGTGTACATTGTACATTGTACATATACATTCTCCTAGGAATATTATAATTTCATTACACTGCATAAATTCTATACACAACAATAAAAACAAATGGCCATGCATGCAACATCAGCTTTTACCATTATCATTAACCTTTCGGATAATAATCTATTATAGCTTAAGAAAGTTTGCTATCTATTTTGTTCAATAATTGCTTTAAGGTGGTTTTAATTGTTTTTAGCCATCAGGGGTTGCAAGATTGAGAAAATTCCCAAAAGAGTTGGCCTTAACTTTGCTAAAGATGAAGAGGATTTTTCACCCAGTGAAAGAAGTTCCTGATTCATTATCTGCTCACCTATAGTTTTTAATATCTTACCAAGTGAAAAAACATCACTTGCTTTGCTCAACAATTTACTATTAAGTATAATTTCTGACATACTCCAGGAGCAATGTTTCATATATACTAAAACAACATTGCTTATAAATTAACAATCAGCTGATGAAAGATTGAAAATCATAACAGCTTAGTAGAAGTTCATGATAGGGTGTGTTTTTGCTACATATTTTTGAACAATTTGTGATGTTCCAATAATATTTTATAAAATGTGAAATGTTGTAACCCATCACATGTACATGATCTGTTAAGGACTGTATAAAATTTAAATAATTGACTGAAATCTTAGTATTGCATTTGATCAACCTTGATAAACCACATTAACTGTGGATAAACCTACCATTGCAATGTGTATGACTGCTATGCAAATTAACATGGCAACCTAAAGATTATGCATGTTTGTTCATATTGATATTTTCCTTAATGGACAGACTTGAGGGACAATAAATGCCTAAACATTCGCACAGGCTGCGAACGCATAACCCATTAACCTCTAATATCACCAGGTAATTTGTTAATAAAATGTTGAGATTACTCCCAACATGGTCATAGGGTATAGTCTATAGGCCGGCTATTGAATTCAACTGCACGATATTTAGTCACTTACCGAAGAGGTCCCTTACGCACAAACAGTATATGCGTTTTCGGTTTTGAACAATAAAAAATCCTTGAAATACGGTTAATATTCGTTATCATTTTACACGTATTAGCGAACATAAGGTGCTGTGGAAATCGCGCCATGCAATCTCATTTCTATTTCGCGCATTTTCTTCATCAGACTTTGTGGGAATCGTAGCATACAAATACTCGCCGGCATGCTCTTTAACTGCGACCAGAGTTTCCAGACTTTACCAAGCCCTTGGCATCCTTCACTCTCTTCCCTTATTTATAAGCGCCAAAAAGATTTCTTACAGCCACAAACGCACGATCTCCTCGTTCAATGTTTATTAAACTCGAAAGCGCGCTTTTTGGTTTTTGCGCCAAATTATTTATAAAATTCCACTTCAATTTTTCAGCATTCAAAATAAAGTTTAAAAATGTCAGCTGATGAATTTATTTTGTGGAAACACGGATTAAGTGAGAAGTGAGATATTCCAAGTGTGAATATTGGTCAGAATACGCGGCATATTCACGGCGTATTCACACTTAGAATACTGAAGAATACGATGCCATATTCACACTAATACTCCATGTCGGAATACGCTTGCAATATGTGTTTTATTCACACCCGTATTCACATGTGAATACCTTGGAATACGGCGCTTTTCATGCAGTGTCGTAATATTTAAAATTAGTTTTAAATATTAATTTAAAATTTTTGTATTTTAAAGGATGCAAGTATTTTGTAAGTTTAATATGTGGATTTATCAGCAAATGTATGACACCTCGTTCTTGATATAGGATCAGTAATGTAGCCAGCCTGTCAATTTGTTCCGCTATGCTAATATTTTGGTGTACGTGTTCACTGATTGTGAAAAAAATAGATTTCTAAGATATGAATAATTATAATAACTCAAAATTTATATAGCTGGACAAAATCGTCAGGCTGGCTACGCCACTGAATAGGATGTAACTTATACGACTTCGATCATTCAGCAGAAACAAGTATTATAGAATTTCACCGAGTTGGAATATATGTTAATTGCTTCCCCTCGATTTTGCGTGCATATTTCTGGTAGAATATGAAATATATTTGTGACTGAAATGGAACTGGAATTATTCTAAGAAAATTGACGTAAACATGCATAGCACCGCATTTTTCTGAAAGGCTCAGCTACAGTGCATTCTACAATTTAAAATTTACGTAATTGAGCAATTCTATTAAAGGTATTCTTGAAAACTAAATAGCTCCTCAAATTATGACGAATTAAAGCGTTAGATATGTTCTTTGAAGTTTTGCATGGTGTTATTAAACATAGTTGTCAATTGCTTTTCATTTACCCAGTGTAATTTAGTTATTTCTAACCTTTTTTAAGCGTTAGAATCAACAGATTTGGTGCATTACATTACCGCGTTATAATATACTGGGGATTTATTTTTTTACAAGAAACAATGTATGTTGACTGTGATATAATTCAATCTTTGATTTTAGTTTCGTCTTGGTTTGCTTTCAATCAGAGTTCTTTCCAGCTTGTCAGCAATCGCCTCACATTTGAAAATGCACGAAAAGTTTGTCAGGAGATGAAAGGTGACCTCGCGTCCACATCAAGTGACGAGGAACAGGCATTCTTGTACAAAATATTTCTAGATAGTAATCCTCCGGGTGAGTACTAAAGTGAAAGTTAATTCCTCACTAACAAATATCCGTTGACAAAGCGCATGGTCGCCAATGCCGAATGCTAATTTGAGATAAGCCGCGTTCAGATTAGTAGGATGAGGAACCCTTTAAATTAATGGTCAAAACGAGAAGTTGTCATAATAAATCTTAAGAAGTTTAAAGGACCTGTTACACGGTGCAATTTTTCTTGCAACTTGCAATACAACTCTATTTTTAAGAGATGTAAATTCTTGCAGAGTATTCAAAATGTAAGTGTAAAAAACGTACATGGAGTGTAATAAACATAAAGGGTTCGTAGTTGCCAAATATACATCTCTTAAAAGTAGAATTTCATTGCAAGTTGCAAGAAAAATTGCACCGTGTAACATGGCCTTACGAATATCGCTTGAATGGTGGGAATACTTTTGCTAAAGCGAATTTGAAGTTGCATCTGACGAAACTTTGAATGCCTGAACTCAATTCAATTAATTAATTTAGCTTGTAGGTACACCACGTTAGTATTTAATACTGCAAAAGCTTCCGGTCCGTTAACCTGGGCCTTCATCAGTGGAATTGATGAAAGCTTTGCAGTATTAAACACTTACGTGGTGTAGCTACAAGCGAAATTACTTATCGATTGTCACCAATGCAAAAATACCAGAATATTATCAATTCAATTAGTTCGTAAAAATAATCTAATATTCGCGCTTTGCGCCTTTTTTGAGGCAAACGGAAGAGAGGTGGTAAAATGTTTCAGGGAATTTGAAGGAGAGGCGGAAATATTCGAGGCATGCACGAAAAACCGCGCAAGGCACCAAGAATGGTTATCTCCTAGGGCTGGGTGAATATCACACTGAACCTTGAATGAATCTATAGTTTTATGCAGGGATATTCTGTAAACGAATAATTGTTAAAACAATAGTGATTTTCCTGAGCTTATTGTGAATTTCAAATTCAGCGGGCAGCCAAGTGTATGTTGGGTTAAACGATATTACCAAAGAAGGTGTATTTGTCTGGAGTGATGGATCTCCAAACCTATACGCAAAATTCCGTAGCGGACAACCCAACAACGACGGGAATGAAGATTGTGTTACATTGGAAGAAAACTTTGGTGATGCTGTGTTTAATGACCGACAGTGTGTTGAAGAAAAAAGATTCTTCTGCGAGACAAGTCTTGTGAACCTTTGAGTTATAAGTATTCAGTAACAATCTCGTGGAATTCTGCATGATCTTAAAACAGAATGAAACACTGCAAACACTTTCACTAACCTCACCATAATTAATAATTAAATAAATTTTTATGTGCTTACATCGATATAAACTTGTAATTTAAGTAGCAGGTTTATCCACATTTAGGTAAAGCAAAATTTCTTTCACTCATAAAGGCTCAAAATTGCCGCAAATATCTTATGTAAAATTATGATCTACGGACAGTTGTATACGAAAAATTTGAATCATTTTGTGATCACCGCTTTGTACGGGTAAAACGTTACTATTTTTGCTTTTTTATTTTTTTTTCAAAATTTTCAATTTTTAGAGGTACTTCATGTTATTGCTTTGTTTAATCACCCCACGCGAAATCTACGCACCGTTAACTTTTGATTAGTTAACCAACAAACTGACTACGTTTTGACCAACGCAGTTAAGGCGTGTAGTAACTAAACTGTCTAGTTATAACGCCAAATATACTAAACTCCAACTATCTTTTTATACAACCGACTACAATAAATGAGATGCAAAGTTTAGATTATTCGTCTGCGAAAAACTCAGCCTGTTGTACTGAGAGAAATTTTGACGTATTTTACAAAAGTCTTCCTAAATATAGCTATATATATATAGTCTCGCTTTCTCGTTCACCGCACATAAAGCAAGCAAGCAAGTGATATTGCAACATTGTAATGACACAGAATATTCTAGAATAACCCCTCGTTGTAAACGGGCTTGGAACAGAAATTCATCAACTTGTTTTTGATTTACTTCTTTGATGATTTTCGCTGAGATTCGGCGTCTCATGCCTTAAGCTTATAACAATGCCGAGACCTCTCTCGTGTAAAATTTGCACATATTTCGCCATTTGAAGAGGTGTGAATTTTTTCTGCGCTGGCCAGTAAATTGCGGGCCTAAAGCTCTTTTTACAACATTTTCGTTCAAATGGGTTTTTGCTGTTTTCAATGTGGCAAGTCAACGAGATTTTGCTGGGATTTGTTTTCAACAGGCAATTTTTTTTAAGTTCAAACCAACGAACTTTCATTTTAAGCTGCGAGAAGATGAGGCAAAATGCTTGTAAAAATAATGTCAATTTTTAAGACAGTTATGAGGCAAGGAAATTTTTTCGGGAAACTACGGGTAAGTCAGTACGTAATATTTTTTCAGCTTTTTAACTTTTTTATTATAAGAATAAAATGTTTAAACATTTTATACTAGATCGTCACACAAGACTTGAATCACTTGATTGCCGTTCAAACTTGGTTATTTTCGTGCATTTTCAACGCAATTTTGTGAGAAATCTAGTCGAGTGCCTCAAAAGGAGAGCCGCTTTAAAAGAGCCTTTATTCTATAAACTTTTTATTTTTACAGGAATTGTTGTAAAAATTCGGACTGATACGAGTTTTGACACATTTTTAATCATTATTCATTTTAATCAAAATTTGGCCTCATATGTTTGATATGCGAGATAAGAAAACTCAAAAAATCTATCCGCACACTGTGAGCTCTCGGCTGAGCTAACAGGCACGAGTAACGTACCCCTAGCTCAGCTGATACCTCTCGTGAGCTGCAGGCTTTACGAGGGTAGTCTGACCACCTCCCAGCATCCAACCAATGCGAAATTCCTATTGTTTTTTTAATTCTATTTATTATCTCACAAATGCAACATGTTTCGTTCCTCTTTGCTCCACCGGCAACAGTGAAAAATATTGATACGTTTTCAAGAAAAGGCAAGAGAAAAACAAGCGAGGCTTTAGTTTTTTGTGTATTCATTTTGTTTTGGCTTTTAAACACTGAGCTATATATAGTAATTATAATAATTCCTGGAGGACTTGCTTCTGTCAAAAAAAGTGAAGCAAGAAACACGGCGGATTTTTTCGTGCTGACGCCAGATATGGTCCCACTGGGCAATGGTAATGACCACTGACGACCGCGATACAGTGCTTTAGGCGCACTCCTTCGCCCTCCGGCTGTCTTCGAAAAATATTTTGGTTTTTTTATATCTTTTTTCAAATGAATCCGACTATTTTTTACTACTTTTTCGACCTTTTATAAAAAAATGGACTCTTTTTTCAGTGCGTTGATGCAATTAGTCTCCAGAAGGGATAAATATCGACTCATACTTGTAAACCGATTTATATTTACTTCTGAAATTTCAAACAGCAATTGAGATTCACGCTTATAGTTTTATCCGCATAAATTGTTTCTCATATTGTCAAAGAGGACTACTAGACTGGTCAGTTATGTTTTAAAAGCTGGCAAAAAGCCAAGTTAAATATAAAGGACAAATGGGAAAAATATTTCTGTGTTTTTTGATCAGCTTTTTCGGCTAGTTTGGCAATCTTGGGCCTGTTCAAATTTTAGGTTAATTCTTCAAATGAGAATAGACTATTCAGAATCAGCTGCCCTTTGGCTAAATGACATTGATTATTAATTGTTTTTCACACATATACCACTATGATACATAGCATGAGATTTTCAACCAGCTAGTGAAAGACTGAGTCTGAGCACAATGACAATGAACTGATTCTCACATACAAAGTCAAATTGTAGTTCATAGTTAATACTCTGTCTTATATATCATAAATGGTGAATATGTAATACCACTTAAGCCAACCAAGCGTACCTAAACGTAAATAATTTCCGTTTTCTGAAAATATGATATGAAAAACTTCATATTCAAATTCTTTTCAGATTTTAGTTCGCCAATGTTTTCAAATATCACCATTATTTACTGAAAAATTTCAGCTTTTAGTAATCGTATGCCACATTTAAAGCACGAGAAGTACGTGTCAGTTGTGTAGATCTTAAAATGAAATTAACAAATAGTAGAAAAAAGGTCGAAAAATAAAAATTCATAACGAAAACAATTTACCGCTAAGTGTTTTCAAAAAATATGCAGGGGGGAGTGAATGTTGGAGCGGGCTCAATATTGTGCCGTGTCAGTGGTCATTACAAAACATTAGGAGCAAGTCCTCCAGGAATTAAAATATAGCTCAGTGCTTTTAAACTTTTAAATACCTAAATTTTCCTGTGCTTTTAAGGGAAGACGTTCTCGCGTGTGTCACGCGTATGCCACATAACACACACACTTTTTTGTTCGCGAATTCTCTGACAAAATTCCCACCTCTTGATCATAATATTATGTGTTTATACACTTGCAATATAATGGTTAGTTGCTAAAATGACATTACTGGGGAACCTGTTAAAGGTGATATAAAAATATGGAAAAATTGTCATAACGGTACTGAGTTTCTGCCCGTCTTAAATCAAGCTCGGCAACTGCAATATGTAAGATAGAAGTTGCTTTAATTCCAATATATAGTGCCTTATATAGTTCTATAATAACAAGGCAGCCATCTTTGATTGCGAAATCCCGGCATTATGAACTATTACATGCACGAAGATCTTAGAAAGTTAGTGAGTAAGCTATATACCGTTTCCCAGAGTTGTAAAATATAAAATTTGTGACATGCCACAGTCCAGAGTTATAACATCTCATGCAAGCAAATTCCATGTTTGCGTTCCGCACGTAAAGCAAGCAAGCGTTCAGTTCTCCAAGCTGGCAACTTTCGTGCGAAAAAATTAAGCCGAACGTTATTAAACGTTTCACGTTTGTCCAATAACAGCTTTCTATTTACGGTTCAGCGCTGTTAGCCAATGGGAAACTGTTTTTTAACGATTGTTTCGTTCAGTAATGAGACTTTGCGTTCGTTTAACACCTTCGGTGAATGTTAATTAGTTAGTCGGTCGCAGATTCAGTAGTGACACTTTGGAGGAGTTTTGTCATTTGAAATGAAAATTGATTTATGGAGGACTTGCTTCAGTTGAGACGGAGTCCGAACCTTTAGTTGGGGGGCGTGGGAGACCGTAGGAGAAGGTAAGGGAACGTAGGAGAACGTAGGAGAACGTAGGGGAACGTAGGGGAACGTAAGGGAACGTAGGGGAACGTACGACAACGTAGGGAACGTAGTGCAACGTAGGCGAACGTAGGCGAACGAAGGGAAATGTAGAGGAACGTAAGGCAACGTAGGGGAGCGTAGGGGAACGTAGCAGAACATACGGGAACGTAGGTGATCGCCAAGATGGAGTGACAGAATTGATGAGTGACTAAAGAACTCAAAGTTGCCAAAATTATCCCTATTTTGGAAAACGTTGTCAAAAAGACGCTGAACACAATCTGTCTGTGCCTAGTAGAGGCGCGCGGTTAATAGTTTTTTACATCTTCTGTGGAAAAAATACCTCGCAGCAAGGGTGAAACTAAATTGGATCATGGTGAGTAATAATTTGATTGTACACTTAAAAGTAGGAAATTAAAAATAAAGCAATCACATGACCAGTGACTACCTGCGCCACGGCAGCCAACCGCATTTAAAGCAATCAAAGTTTCTCTTAACAACAAAAAACAAACAAAGACAATTTACCTCAGGTTTAAACAGCAAAGTTATTATTCCTTAAAATAAGTTTCTTTAAATCGCATGGATACGACAAGTATTAATACAACAGAACTAGTCATTGAAATTAAAAAGGATTGGAAGTTTCAGACGTTGTCCAAGTTCTATTTACAACTTAATATATCAGGTCTTGTGTTCGTCTATATTTTATGCCGAAACAATTACTATAATCTATTTTGTGAACATTCCTGTTATCTGTAAACTTCTAACTTAACATGCAAAAAATTAAAATCATGCAAAGCCAACGAATAAGTTAATTGTATGAAATCAGTATTTGTTTGTCGCGTGCTACTCGAGGTCCCAAAACAAAACAGGTCCAGTGTCATTTGCGGTTGTCACCAGTAGAATATTTTATATTTTAAAATTGAACCTGAGTTTACTGCTCGGGTATTTTCTTCATACTATACGCTATATAATAATAATCATAGGATAATTTCATTCCCTTGGGAGTTTAATTTATTTCACATAAATGACGGTTGTGAAAACTGTTTCGTCACAAGATTTTACCGCCGGGCAAATTGCGGGTACCCAAATACAGAAAATTATTTAAAATTGCTTCATTACGAGATTCATCAAATGAATTTAGCTGCGGCTGAACTTTCCATCTGGTTTTACGAAAACTTCAAAGGACCATAGGCTCAGCTCGAGCTGAAATTTTCTACTGTAACTAAATTACCTTTGAATGAAACGTCCTTGTAATCATGCAGCCACCTGTGTTGTGGTAACCAACCGCATAAAATATATCCATAGCAATGGCATATAAATAAAACCACTTAAACCCACGGTACACACTTGTTAGCACTATCAGTACCGGTCTAAAAAAATTGTGGATGGTTTGCAATTACGCGTTAAGGTAAGTTTCACACGTTCCTTTTGTGGAGTTCGCATCTTCTAGATTTTTATCCCATATTGTGTTGTTTCTTCATGTAGCAGCCTGTCGCAGCAAAAATACCCCTCCTGGTCCGTACACGTACGACTGTATTACATAACTGTAAACGTCCGTATATACTTATTGTATTGTATTAAATCTACTATTCACATCATCAAAATTGCTTTAGAAAATGAGTCACAATTGGCTGATGCTTTGCTTTGCGATCGGTGTTCAATGTTTGGTGTTTCCACTTACAAATGCTAGCCAAGCAGATTCGTGTTTTTCCTCTTCTTTCTCAAGAGCCATTGGTTACATCCTTCAAGGATTTTTACTTGGTGAAATAGAAGTCGATTCGATCATTGAATGCAAAAGACGATGTGTTGCCATTGCAAATTGCAATTCATTGAATATCTTGTCAAATTCAGACGGAAGCTTCATGTGTCAGTTGAACAGCCACCTTAAAGAAAGTGGTTTGAAGGAACAATTTGTACGTCATGCGTCCGGGGAATATTATGGTTTAAAGGTAAGTAAGTAATTCAGGATAACACGTATATCCTTTGTTAGTGATTTGGATAGCCGGCGAATTAAATTCAGTTTTAATTAAGAGGTGCCGAAAATAGTGTTCTTCAGGAAAAGATTGTGCTTTGAGGATGTTCTCGATTTTGACGGTATAAACTATGTAATCGAATTTTTCAAAATTATACAATATTTTATCATTTTAGGAAAAGAAATTGTGCGAAGATAATGGAAACACTTGCAGCTCCGGTGAGAACCCTTCTTTATAAGAAATATTTAAAATTAGTTGATTACAAGTCTAAAATAAAATATAGGCTGGTAATCACCGAAACCTGAAGCGATTAATAAGTACACAATTTCTCTGACGTTGTTTTAACACGAAGGTTTCTGAAATCTAAAAATTTTATATGCGATTTTCCTCTTTTGATAGATGTGAACGAATAATCAGTTACAAATGCTTTGATGTACAAGCGCTCTTATTAGAATATCAGTAACTAACTGACTCATTTACATCTATCAAAAGAAAAAAATCGTATTATGACAGAGAATGCAAAAGATGCTTTCGGAAAAACTTGGATTTAAATTGATAGTAAAAAATCTACAATTTTGGGACATTTTTGGAGTGTTTTGAATAAGTAAATGGGTAGATTTTGTATTTTAAAGAATGCAAGTATTTTGTAAGTTTAATATGTGGATTTATCAGCACATGTATGATGCCTCTGAACTTATTTGTCAAATTCGTTAAAATTTTTTTGGTGCGGTAATTATTTTCTGTTTGAAACGGAATTGAAATTTTGCTAAAAATTATACTAGTTGTAGTATTTAAAACTATTCGTAGCACAACTATGATTATTGTTGAATTTGATAGCTCGAGAGTCGACTTTATAATAATTGTTCTCGATATAGGATTTCACTTATACGACTTCGATCATTGAGCAGAAACGAGTTTTATACAATTTCACCATGTTGGAATATATGTTAATTGCTTTCCCTCGAAATTTTCATGCATGTATTTCTGGTAGAATATAAAATATATTTGTGACTGAAATGAAACTGGAATTATTCTAAGAAAATCCTGAAAAGGCTCGGCCCCAGTGCATTCTACAACTTAAAATTTACGTAATTGAGCAATTCTATAAAAGGTATTCTTGAAAATTAAATAACTCCTCAAATTATGACGAATTAAAGCGTTAGATATCTTCTTTGAAGTTTGGCATGGGGTTATTAAACATAGTTGTTAATTGCTTGTGATTTACCCCATCTAATTATTTATTTTTATTACGGCGTAATAATACATTGGGATCTAGTAGTTTTTTACAAGAAACAATGTATGTTGACTGTGATATAATTCAATCTTCGATTCTAGATTCGTCTTGGTTTGCTTTCAATCAGAGTTTTTTCCAGCTTGTCAGCGATTCCCTCACATTTGAAAATGCACGAAAAGTTTGTCAGAAGATGAAAGGTGACCTCGCGTCCACATCAAGTGACGAGGAACAGGCATTCTTGTACAAAATATTTCTGGATAGTAGTCCCGCGAGTAAGTACTAAAGAGAAAGTTAATTCCTCAAAAACAAATATCCGTTGACAAAGCTGCATGGTCGCCAATGCCAAATGCTAATTTGAGATAAGCCGCGTTCAGATTAGTAGGATGAGGAACCCTGCTAATTAATGGTCAAAACGAAAAGTTGTCATAATGCTGCTACACGGTGTAATTTTTCTTGCAACTTAATTGCAACTCTGCTTTTAACAGATGTAAATTAGTGATTCAGAGTATTCAAAATTTAGGTGTAAAAAACGTACATGGAGTGTAATAAACATAAAGGGTTCGTAGTTGCCAAATATACATCTCTCAAAAGTAGAATTTCATTCCAAGTTGCAAGAAAAATTGCACCGTGTAACAGGGACTTAAGAATATCGCTTGAATGGTGGGAATAGTTTGGCTAAAGCGAATTTGAAGTTTTATCTGACGAAACTTTCAATGCCTAAACTCAATTCAATTGTGGTAGATTTTTGTTGTGTTCTCCACAACGAGAGAAAATTCACCGCTTTATATAAACCAATAACTTTAATAATGAAGCTTTCTCTTTCACAGACAATCACAATTCTTTTACACTACGACTTGCTTTGCTAAGCATTGTTCTTATCACCTGTCAATCACCACTAAATATAGATGTTCGATTACTTATGTCTAATTATATTAATATTAATTATGGTTAATGTCAAATCCCTAGTTTTAACATAAATTCCCGACACAATTAAGTAATTTAGCTTGTAAGTACACGACGTAAGTACTTACGTGAATACTTACGTGGTGTACCTACAAGCTATATTATACTTATCGATTGTTACCATGCCAAATACCAGAATATTATCAATTCAATTAGTTCGTAAAAATAATCTAATATTCGCGCTTTGCGCCTTTTTTGAGGCAAACGGAAGGGAGGTGGTAAAATGTTTCAGGGAATTTGAAGGAAAGGCGGAAATATTCGAGGCATGCACGAAAAACCGCGCAGGGCACCAAGAATTGTTATCTCCTAGGGCTGGGTGAATATCACACTGAACCTCGAATGAATCTATAGTTTTATGCAGGGATATTCGGTAAACGAATATTTGTTAAAACAACAGTGCTTTTTCTGGGCTTATTTTGAATTTCAAATTTAGCGGGCAGCGAAGTGTATGTTGGGTTAAACGATATTACCCAAGAAGGTGTATTTGTCTGGAGTGATGGATCTCCAAATCTGTACGCAAAATTCCGTAGCGGAGAACCCAACAACTACGCTGGGAATGAAGATTGTGTTGCATTGGCAGAACCACTTGGTGATGCTGTGTTTAATGACCGATCTTGTGATGAGGAAAAAGTATTCTTCTGCGAGACAAGTCTTGTGAACCTTTGAGTTATAAGTGTTCAGTAACAATCTCGCGGGATTCTGCATCATTTTAATTTTCAAAACAGAATGAAACACTGCAAACACTATCACTAACCTCACCTTAATTAATCATTAAATAAATTATTATGTGCTTACATCGATATAAACTTGTAATTTAAGTAGCAGGTTTATCCACATTTAGCTGAAGCAAAATTTCTCTCACTCATAAAGGCTCAAAATTTCCGCAGGTATCTTATGTAAAATTATGATCTACGGACAGTTGTATACTGAAACTCTGAATCATTTTTTAATCACCATTTTATGGGTAAAACGTTATTATTTTTTATTTTTTTGTTTGCTTTTTTTTCAAAATTCTCAATATACAGGGGTACTTCATGTTATTGCTTTTTTTATCACCCCACGCGAAATCCACGTGCCGTTAACTTGTGATTAGTTAACCAAGAAACTGAGTTAACAGAGTACGTTTTGAGCAACGCAATTAAGACATGTAGTTAACTAACCTGTCTAGTTATAACGCTAAATATACTTAACTCCAACTATCTTTTTATACAACCAGTCGCAATAGATGAGATGCAAAGTTTAGATTATTCGTCTGCGAAAAACTGAGCCTGTTGTACTGAGAGAAAATTTGACGTAATTTACGAAAGTCTTCCTAAATATAGCTAGTCCTGCTTTTTCGTTCACCGCACATAAAGCAAACAAGCAAGTGATATTGCTATTGCAACATTGTAATGACACAGAATATTCTAGAATAACCGCTCGTTGTAAACGGGCTTAGAACAGAAATTCATTTAATTGTTTTTGATTTTCTTTTTTGATGATTTTCGCTAAAATTCGGCGTCTCATTCTATTCAGCCTTTTCACCAGCAACGTTCTTTGCATCGATATTGCGAACGCCCGGCATTATGAACTTTTACATGTACGAAAATCTTAGAAAGTTAGTGAGTAAGTTATTTACCGTTTCCAGAATTGTGAAATATAAAATTTGTGGCATACCACAGTCCAGAGGTATAACACCTCATGCAAGCAAATTCCATGTTCGCGTTCCATACGTAAGCAAGCAAGCGTTCAGTTCTCCAAGCTGGCAACTTTCGTTCGAATAAATTAAGCCAAACGTTATTAAACGTTTGTCCAATTCTTGATTGCTATTTTACGGATTCAACACTGTTAGCCAATGGGAAACTGTATATTTTTAACAATTGTTTCGTTGAATTCGTTCAGTAATGACACTTTGCGTTCGTTTAACGCTTTCGGTAAATGTTAACTCTAGTTAGTCGGTCGCAGATTCAGTAGCGACACTTTGGAGGAATTTTGTCACTTGAGATAAAAAATAATTCATGGAGGACTTGCTTCAGTTGAGACGGAGAACGAACCATTAGTTGAAACATAGGGGAACGTAGGGGAACGTAGGGGAACGTAGGGGAACGTAGGGGAACGTAGGGGAACGTAGGGGAACGTAGGGGAACGTAGGGGAACGTAGGGGAACGTAGGGGAACGTAGGGGAACGTAGGGGAACGTAGGGGAACGTAGGGGAACGTAGGGGAACGTAGTGGAACGTAAAGGAACGTATGGGAACGTAGTGGAACGTAGGGGAACGTAGGAGAACGTAGGAGAAGGTAGGGAACGTACGGCAACGTAGGGGAACGTAGTACAACGTAGTTGAACGAAGGGGAATGTAGGCGAACGTAGGGGAACGTAGGCGGGCATAGGGGAACGTAATGGAACGGAACGGAACGTAGGGGATTGCCAAGATGGAGTGATAGAATTGATGAGTGATTAATGAACTCAAAGTTGCCAAAATTATCCTAATTTTGGAAAACGTTGTAAAAAAGTCGCGTAACACAATCTGTCTGTGCCTAGTAGAGCCGCGCGATTAAAAGTTTTCTACATTTTCTGAGGAAAAAATACCTCGCAGCAAAAGTGAAATAGAATTGGATCATAGTGAGTAATAATTTGATTGTACACGTAGTAGTAAAAGTAGGAAATTAAAAATAAGGGAATGAAATGACCAGTGACTACCTGTGCACGGCAGCCAACTGCATTGAAAGCAATCAAAGAGTCTCTTAACAACAGAAAACAAATGAAGACAATTTACCTCAGGTTGAGACAGCAAAGTTATTATTCTCTAAAATAAGTTTCTTTTAATCGCATGGACACGAAAAGTATTAATACAAGTAGTCATTGATTGGACGAGTCTCAAACGTCGTCCAGGTCTTGTGTTTGTCTATATTTTATGCCGCAGCAAACCTATTTTGTGAACTTCCCTGTTAACGGTAAACTTCTAACTTAACATGTAAAAAATTAAAATCATGCAAGGCCAAGGAATAAGTTAATTGTATGAAATCAGTATTTGTTTGCAGCCTCCTACTCGAGGTCTCAAAACAAAACAGGTCCAGTGTCATTTGCGGTTGTCACCTGTAGAATATTTTACATTTTAAAATTGAACCTGAGTTTACTTGCTCGGGTATTTTCTTCATACTATACGCTATATAATAATAATTGCAGAATAATTTATCCTTTTGGAGTTTATTTTCATTCACATTATTAATATGACAGTTGTAAAAACTGTTTTGTCACAAAACATGATTATACCAGCAAATTGCTGGTACTCAAATACAGAAAATTATTAAAAATTGCTTTGTTAGAGATTTATCAAATGAATTTAGTTCCGGCTGAACTTTCAATCTGGTTTTAAAAAATTTATAAATCCTATACACTCAGCTCGGGCGGAAATTTTTTACTGTAGCCAAATTACATTTGAATAAAAACGTCCATGTAATCATGCAGCCACCTGTGTTGTGGTAACCAACCGCATAGAATACAGCCATAGCAATAGCATATACATGAAAACACTTAAAACCACTGTACACAGATTTTAACACTGTCAGTACCGGTTTGACCAAATAGTAGATGGTTTGTAATTACGCGTTGAGGTAAGTTTCACACGGTCCTTTTGTTGATTCTGCATCTTCTGCGCTAATGAAAACATCAAAACTTCATAATCAGCTGTTTTGCTGTAAGTCTCTTTATCATTACTCTTTATATCAAATTTATTTAGAAAATGAGTCACAATTGGCAAATTCTTTGTTTTGCGATCGGTGTCCAATGTTTGGTGTTTCCACTTGCAAATGCCAGCCAAGCAGGTTCGTGTTTTTCCTCCTCGTTCTCAAGAGCAATTGGTTACATCCTTCAAGGATTTTTACTTGGTGAAATGGAAGTCGATTCGATTATTGAATGCAAGAAACGATGTGTCCTCAGCGCAAATTGTCATTCAGTGAATATCATGTCAAATTCAGACGGAAGCTTCATGTGTCAGTTGAACAGCCACCTTAAAGAAAGTGGTTTGAAGGAACAATTTGTACAATATGCGTCCGGGGAGTATTACGGTTTAAAGGTAAAGCCGGGGACAATAGTCCATTTGTGGGTGATTTGAATAGAATGGTTTTATTTATGCTCATCTTGAGGTTTCGTTAAGCGGTTAAGCGAAATATGAAACACCTTGCTAGCTGATGCAAGATGACAACATTTACTGTTCTCTTTGTGTGATATGACTCATTCCAAAGTAGTCAATGTAATTCTACAGTCTCTCTGAAACATGATAGAAACAAAATTACATATAACGGGGCAGACGATACTAACGATATTACTGGATATATCTATTACACCAGTCTCAAAATACATAACTTCTCCATGGTACATTCATAGTTTACATGGTACATTCATAGTTTACATGGTACATTCATATTTTACATGGTACATTCATAGTTTACATGGTACATTCATAGTTTACATGGTACATTCATGGTTTACATGGTACATTTATAGTTTACATGGTACATTCATAGTTTACATGGTACATTCATAGTTTACATGGTACATTCATAGTTTACATGGTACATTCATAGTTTACATGGTACATTCATAGTTTACATGGTACATTCATAGTTTACATGGTACATTCATAGTTTACATGGTACATTCATATTTTACATGGTACATTCATAGTTTACATGGTACATTCATAGTTTACATGGTACATTCATAGTATACATGGTAAATTCATAGTTTACATGGTACATTCATAGTTTACATGGTACATTCATAGTTTACATAGTACATTCATATTTTACATGGTACATTCATAGTTTACATGGTACATTCATATTTTACATGGTACATTCATAGTTTACATGGTACAGAGTAGCAATTTTTCTTGAGCAAAATTTTTAAAGATAAAGTCTAAAAAGAACGTCTTTTGGAGGAACCTCGTTATTGTGCATGTAGCATAAAGTTACACCCTACAGTTTTTAATAATTATATTTATGATTTCATCGTTTCAGGAGAGGAAATTATGCGAAGATAATGGAAAGAATTGTGGGCTTGGTGAGTACCTGTTTAGAGAAGATAATAATGTGGAATATATATAGTTGTGGAGTTTTGTTCATCTTGAGGTGGCTCAAACTTTGCAGTTGAAAAATATCATAGCCAGATATATACATAAGATATCAGAGTTGATGTAACATCATTGACAAATAGTGTTATTATATATCACTTGTCAAAGCTCGCTGTTCCTAGCCATTCATTGGTCGAGAGCCGAATCACGCCAGAGTGGCGAAATTTTGATGTTGCTCTGATTTACTGTAACATAATCTAATGTTAAATTATTTAAACTAATAAAGTAATGTGACATAGTCTAATTTGCTGTGACATAATTCTAGATGCATCTTGGTTTGCTTTCAATCAGAGTTATTTTCAACTCGTCAATGATGTTCTCGCATTTGAAAATGCACGAAAAGTGTGTCAGGGAATGAATGCTGACCTCGCCTCTACATCGAGTGAGGAAGAACAGGCATTCTTGTACAACACCTTCATGAATCGTGAGTACTACGAATTTAGGCATTATGTAATAAGAAGTTAAAGGTTCTTAATGAATCAATATCTGCCAATCAGCTAAATACCCATCGAGCTAATCGGCTAAAATCCCCCGCAATGCACCAGGCCATTGTTTCCAATAAAGCCAGCATTGGACATTTTGGCTGCATTGACAAATCTCGTAGACGATCAAGATATCACATCTTATCTCTCATTCGACGAGTTCTGCATGCTAAGAAAAATTTTACCTAATTCTATTTTGCCACTCTTGGCTCATCCTAACAACGCTCCCTGCGATTTGTCTTAACATGGCGTCCTCACATCAACACCCCCCCCCCCCTGTCACGAATATTTAAGTTCTTGATATACCTCTCGTGTTTTACTTGCAACGTTTAAACAATTTCTCGATGTCTCGTTTCCATTCTCCTTTTCTCGATTTTCTCTCTCTCTGTGCTCCTCCTCTTTCATTTCTGGCAGACAGCAATAACGTAATGATAAACATTAGGCAATCAACACTAAATGATCGTTCCCAGCAGATCATGGGTATTTGCACCAAGACGTCTAACTAGACCAGCAAGATCTCTCTTTCTATTAACTAACTGCCAATTGGTTCGCCTTGTCTTAATTTGGTTTTTTTTAATTGTTGAAAATGTTTCATTGTTCTCCAGATTACTGTTAACGCCACGTGTGTAATGCTTCTGTAAGCATGAAATGACCCTGAGGGAATAAAGACGCTCAAAACGCGAATAAAAGGGAGAAGCGCTAATAAAAAAAAACTAGAAATACATGCATGCAGCAACCCCTCGCTATTTCAAACAAAGTACACAATTTCCTGAGTTAACCTGACATAAACTTATATTATGAAATGACACAAAACTTAAATCTGTCTGTATCATATTTTACCGAATATATTATATATCGTTATTAATGTTTCCATCATGCGATGAAAAAATAATCATAAAGCTAGGGTAAACATTGGCCGTTCAATTTTGTTGCATTATTCCATGGCGTAAACTAAGTAATGGTTTAAAATTAAAGTGTCAAACGCTCAAAACAGTTTAAAATCTTCAGAGACAAAGTTAAATTGCTGACGTTCGCATTGAAATACAAACTTTCTGTCTTAGCCAATCAGAACGTTCGTTGATTACCAGATGTTATTCGCGCATGCGCATAAATTACAAAACCACCCAATGTCAACCGTCCATGACATAGACTTTTGAGAACTTTGGATTCCCAGCTATGTTATCCCGGGTTTCGGGTGTAATTCCTAATCTCCGAGCGGAATTAGTACTCTCGCAGGCGCTCCGCACTCGCTCGGGATAAAGTAAAATAGGTGCCAAGCAAGAAAAAAATGGTGGGAAGAAAAGGCGAGAAACATTAGATTCGCCGTCCCTGGGGCGAATATTTGTTAAAATTAATAGTTATTTTTTGCTTCTTTGATTTGAAATTTAGCGGGCGACACATTTTTTGTTGGCTTAAACGATCTTGTTGAAGAAAATGCGTTTATCTGGACTGATGGATCTCCAAATGTTTACGCAAGATTTTTCACTCCGCAACCTGGCAATGATCCTAACAGTGAAGATTGTGTTGTCATCTCCACCTTAGAGAATGGTGGGTATTCTGACGTTCCTTGTGACTATAAATACAAATTTTTATGTGAAACAACTTTTGGAAACCTTTGAGTAAATAAATTCTTTCGATATAGTACGCAGTATCATGGCAATCAGTATAATTTTAAAATAAAATGTATTACGGTAAAATATCCAGTAATTAAACTAGAAGTACTTTTAACGAACTTGAACAATTGAAACTTAATATTAATAAACTTCTCAACGTATATTTTAAAAGCTATATACAGTAGGTATAGGTACTGACAATCATTGAGTCATATTATTTGGGGTAGTGTATGTCTCGAAAACAAAAACATACAGGGTAAACACAAAAACCTAAACTTGTTTGACGCCAAAGAAACGCAGGGTTTAAAATACAAATTCTGTTCATTAGGCGCAAGTTTGGGAAATGTTTTTTTAATCACTTCAGACAATTTTCGTGTACATTAGACCGATAAATAAATTTCTACCTACGCAGTGAGGAAGGCTCATTTTTTCAGCGCATGTGCATGTTTAATGTTATTCAGCAAAATTTTATTCAGTGGATGAAATGCAAAACTTTTCATTCTTCGGCTATTATCAACCGCTGAAAAAATGAGCCTGCTGTAAATATTGAAAGACGGTTACCAAATTCTCCAAAAATTTCCAACACCACCCCCCCCCCTCCAGTTTAATTATAGCTAAAATTGTTCATTTTTATTCATCCTGTAAATTTACCACTCATAATAATTATATTATGCACAAATAATATTAATATGAAAAATATAAAAAATATCACTGCAACAATAAATGTAATGAGAATTCCAGAATAAACTCTCGTATTGTAAATTGATCTATTGAAATGGTGAAGCGTCCATGGTTTCCGCGTAATTTCCTTCAAAATTACAATGACGAAGGAGGGAAAGATCTGTGTTGATAAGATATATTATGCATTCATTTCAAAAGTTCTTTATTTCTCTCTTTTGACATTGCTAGACCACGATAAGGACAGCCATATCCGGCAAATAATCCGGAATCCCTGATTAAGTATAAAATGAAACATACTCCGATAAACAAAGACATCAGGCAAACCCAAGATGTAAGTTATAAGAAAGACAAGACGCAATATTCAATTGGTGATATCTCGAGTCTATTTTAGAGTTATTGTCAAAATTTCTGACAACGTTTCTGAAATAGAGCAGAAATATCACAGATTAAATACTTGCGTCTTGATTTTCCTATATCGTAAATCTGCCAAAATATCACAGTGTAACCTGGTTGGTTTACAGTTTAACATTCGACGGTTAAAACAAACGTGATAAAAAGCTTGCAAATAGCTGTAAGCCATCTCAATTCTCCAAGGCTGAGAAGAACAAAGAGAGGTGACAATCCTGACTATCCCATAAATACACACTAACCGCTCGCTCTTGTCAGCTATTTCTGTAGCTCAGTGAGTGACAAAAACATTGGACCGGTACCGCAAGAGCGTACGTTTAATATTTAATTTTTTTGCATGGGTCATTTTTTATTGCCTGTCCCTTCCAAAAAATGATATTTTTGCACAAATCTACTTAAAAATGAAAAAAAAGGTTTCAAGTGGTAATGACCACCTTAATACTGATTTTCTCAACTTTTCCTACCTTGAATTTGGATCGTGTAAAAATTCCTCTCAAAACTGAGATAAGAAATCAGTATAAACATAGTCATCAGCGAGTAAGTGATAAAAATTAAACCTCTATTTCTTCGATTATGTCGAACCTCTGCATGCATGGTCATGCAGGTTCGTATAGACCCTTAAGTCTTAGAATAATCGCATGCAAACGCGGTAAGATGGATGTTATACGGAGTTTGATTGGCTTGAACCACCTTATGGTGACACTATCAATTGAAAACATCATCAGTTTTAAATTTTGGCGCCAGATTCGTGACAACATGCACGTATTCCCGCATGACTAAAGAGTGTCTAATCAAGCAATTACAAAACGCGTGCGTTTTTTTGAGTATTTTATGCCCGGCGTGATAGCTTTTTTCTAATCACATGGATTGATGTAATAGAATGTGTTAATATTTTTAAACCCTCCCATCACAGTTATAGCTTAGACCACCCATGAAGAAAGTTCGGTTTCTGGAGTTCTTTTAATCAACGATTTATAAGACATTACTAATTACTTCATTTCATTCATGTTTTCCGCTTTCTTTGCTGGGAGGAGTCGATCAATTGACGGTGGAGTCCTCAATATAACGACCTCCAGTGATGATGTATTGAGACCATCTGCGGAGAATTTGCCATTCTAGAATTCATAAACAATGCATGTGCGTACATTAAGGCCTTTGCCAAATTTACATCGCTTAATGACATTGACTTGCGCTAATTTTTAAGCCGATGAGTTAACGCTATTGTTAGACAAACAACTGCATTGTAGTCAAATATACTCAGAGTTGTGCTGGTTGACTATTATAGTTAACAAGTCACTGCATGGGAAGCGTGTTGCCCTCGCTCGCTGTTACTATTTGTATGTATCAGTTGCCTTGACTGTTTACTTTGAATACAAGGGGAGTAGTGATTGCTATTATCCATAGTCAATAACAAAATAGTATTTGATCAAACAGCAGGACTGGCGTGAAGTACGTATTACTCGTGTTTTGTATTTCGACCATTTGAACATTTCCCGTGTTCTAAAAATAAGCATGCAAAAATCGGAAAGAACGAATTGAGTTCAATCATTAATTTTTTTCTCACGCTCATAAAAGATGAGGTTAAATATATAAATATAGAAATCTCGATCTATATACGCAACCTTATGTCACCCTACCTTAAAGGCGGACTATAAATCTCATAGTGTGTGAGGAAATTAGCCCAGCAAATTGCATGTTCACTTGGCAACTGAATACCACAATAATATCAGATAAATTCACTCTACGGAAATAGATTGTATTATCCCTTTGGTCATAGCCAGGTTTTGCTTATACAGAAAAGACTTATTTAATGTTTGAGCGTCGAAGTGACGTAAGCCATTTTAGATCACGACAGCCGTTTTTATGTTTGCTGAAATAGCAAACTTGAAATCCTTTCCACTGCCGTTCTACATTTCACTTAGATCTCACGTTCTGAATTACGGACCGTTAACGCGGGAATGTAGCTACTCTTAAAAATTGTACGACGACCGTGTTGTTAAAAAATATAATGTAGCGACATCTTTCTCGCTATATATTCATGAAGACCGACCTTTGACTAAGCAACCTCGCGAGGATTGTTCAAAACATCGCGGGGAAGAGTTAGAAATATTATGCAAATAACTGGGGATACAGAAATTAATACACATGCATTCGGTCAAAATCCGATATTTTTTCCATTAAGGAAAAATTCGCATCTAACGTATCTTGATTCCCTGATATAAAAGTTTATATATACATATATGTATATCTACTCTATATAGCTAATTTTCGTGAGTAAAATGGCATATTGAGTCAGTGATGACTTCTTTTCCTCAGGGGTTTTCCGGATTTATGCTTTTGTCTGCTATCATAATTATACTGCACGCAGGTCAAAAATGAATGGGGCTTATATCCTGGTTCCCATTTTGGTCTAATTGTTGTGAGCAAGTGTTTTCACCGATGAAAAATAAACAGAATGTATATTTCATTTTGTTTTTATTTTCTGTATCCTGTCATTGTTGACTGCATGCACAGAGAATGTTTTATCACATCAACTACCTTGACATGCTCACGAAACGCCCGACTAAATAGAAACCAGGTTTATATATCTGAACTTTAAAAATCGTATATTAAAATGAAGCAATGCGCGTATAAGATAGTTTGACCTTATGGTGTTATTCTGCAGATATTTACGGTGTTGGATTCCAAACACTGCGACTCTAGAAGTCAGTTCAGGCTGAGGTCCCGCTTATACATATTACGGGATGATAAATCTTGGACCTTATACATTCAATTTATTTCCCTGTTTACGAATAATTTCTATTTACATGCATGCATCATTTAGAAGAGGTATTTCCGACAGTCAGGTGAATTAGGCCAAATTCATGTCAGGATTAAATTTTTCTATCCGTAGTTCAACCTTTATGCAACTGCATGGAAATGGAGAAAAAATAATTTGTTTATGACATGCTCTGCCCTCTATAGCTCGCAAATTATCGTAATTTATCGTAACCTCAGTCAAAGTTTCCTCTAAAAAAATTCCAGCCTATATGCGTTCTATATAATTTATATGTTTATATATATGTTATAGCCTATATATAAAGGGCTCCCAAAGCCGGCTTATATAGTATTTGGTTTAGCATAGAGCTTCCATGAAAGTCGAAAATCTTAACGGCTCGTAGATAAATTGGAGTTTAAAAGCACGCATTAATGAAATCATATAAGGCAATATATTCCTTTCATTTTAGCTTTGAATTGTAGCGAAGAAACATGCCTGATATAAAAATTGTCACGAAAACATATAAACTATAGGATCTTATAATGATATCTTACATCAGTTAATATATATATAGGTAATACCGAGTATACTGATTTTAATATTCATCATGCATCTTGAATTCGGCTGAATTAATACGCATTTTCCGGGCTGATATTATGGCGTGCGGTGACCGAAATCATTTCTTTAAGTTCAAAATGATAATATGAAGTAGACTAAAGCCGGCTGTAGCATGTAAATGATACCACTGGCACTGGCAAAGTTTCAAAACAAAATTGCATGGTCATAATTGATGAAGTCAACTGGCTGTGATGCCATCGCACTAGAAAAGCTTTGAACTCATTCAGAAATGTTCAGAATTGAACGGTTTTCTCTCAGTTAAATAGTATGCAAATATACAATTATCGTCATGGGTAATCACTTTCATTCAATATAAGTATACTTTGATCTTTGAAACACATTCCATGTAGTGCATGCACATAGTCTTGAGTCATGTTGTATAGGCCTAGGCACAGAATTAAGCTGCTTCATTTCCACAGTTATTGATAAATCACTACAGTTAGTTTATATGAATTTTAATATTGATGCTGTTATATATTCTTGCACTTAAAAGTATAAAGAAGCTTTTCTTATATCAGTAATAGCATAGAAATATAGATCTTGCCTAAATGTTTATATATATGCCCTGTTTCTTTGACATCACTAGCTGTTTTCATATTATTTCAAATTAATGGTACATGCATGTTTGTTAATGCCAATCAGTGCACTAAGCTGAACGACATTGAACGCTTTATAGCCTAGTGTATATATTAGTTGATATTATATATTGTGCGCGAAGAAAATTCATCTGTGTGAAGGATTTTATAGCAAATCCTTGCAATGCATGTTCCTTATAAACAGCAATTGTAGTGATTTTTTTGGATGGCTTGAGTCTTGCTCAAAATATAACAAAGCAATTCGTTATTAATTTTACCAGCTATTTCTATACACACTCCTAAAGATTTTATAAATTGTTCCAATAGAAGTCGTTTCATATAGCATAATCATGCACACCCTGTCGGTGTATATATACACCTTATATATACATTTAATTTAGTAGCTAGAAACTATTTACATTATCAGCTGTCATGATATTTAAACTGATAGTTAAAATAGAGTGATGATGAAAAAAATAGTGTTTATTTGAAACATCATTGTGTGATTGTTATCTGAAAAGGTTATAAACAAGTTTATACTTTAATCAGAATCAATGAAATGAAGCGGCACGGCAAGGCTGACTGGCAAGGCTGACTGCGGAATAAACTGGATTTTACACTGTACATTAATATCTCTAAGACTATGACAATAAAAATCACTGCATTAAAGGTGTATTTTCCTTTAGTTATGATGTTTCTCGACATGCATGCGAAAACGAAACTACAGAGAAGAGATAGCGATATCTGGTGATCGAAAATATTTAAAGATATTTAAAGCCGACACGCCTTTTTATATGCGTCACCCAAATGCCCAATATATAAGTCTGTGTATGTCATCATGCATTTCCACGTTATTCCTGCATGATATTTGAGGGTAGGCAACAATTATTCGGTGAATCCTCAGCTGATTTTAAATACACAGTGCATGGTCAAATGAAAAAATCATATTCGACCTTATAAAGATTGGATACTGAACTACGCGCGCCATACTTAGTCATGCAGATAAACCAAAAAAATAAATATGATATTGATATAGGATTCAGTCAACGTGGCGTTTGAAACGCCAGTGCCATTATGGATACGAAAGTCGATAGAACAATAAAACTATAAACAATATTTTGTTGCCAAAAAAACATAGATGCATGGATATAAAAATGCTTGTGAGCAGAATTATACGAGATGCCATATCGCCCCGGCGGCATGCAAGATTGATTCGACAACTTAAAATTCCTCAGCATATTAGTTTTTGTTGACCTCTCGAAAATATATGCGGGAGCAAAATAGGGAAGTAAAATAAAACTAAGAATAAAACTATAAACACACATTTTATTAGATTTTTCAGATTTAATCTTACAGCTGCACTTTTTTTCTGAAATCTCGGTTCATATGTACATTAGACATTGTTGTCGTTTAACGACTTACATCCCCCTCAGTCAAACCCATCTAGACCAAAAATATAATTTACAGCACGTTTATAAATTAAAATACATTTATAAAACTAGAGATTTTGTCTAGATTTCACAGCACCCTACAGAAATCGTCGGGAATTTGTGTTCAAATTTGGTACTGGTCAATTTTGTTTAAACTTCTGCCCTTATAGCAATATTATCAAAAGTACGTTTCATACAATGTTTACATTTTTACAATGAGTTCTTCTACTGAAAGATGATATGAAGCACAAAAAAGGAACAGAAGTTTCCTTCTCAAAATTCAAAATCTGGAATTTGTGCATGACCTTTGAAATTGTCTATGGCCAATACCTAGCGGTTTAAATATGAAATGCATGGACATGCATGTTAAGATTTGTTTGAAATATTCGACAAAGAAGTCATCAATCTGTGTGTATTATATATAAAGACAAATCTGATCGTGCTAGAAATCTATCTATAAATCGACAGGATACATTCAAAGCTATGTACTGTGAATAACTGAGGGCATGCAATGCTGTTCTCAACTTCAATTTCAAGCAAAAACTTATGTTCGAGTCACTGAGAATCATTTTTCTCAAAGCAAAACGTGTGATAATAAGCTTAACAATCTTATAATACATGAGGCAAATACATCAAGTAACATGCGAAAATATGTCAAGCCAAGTTGAATCTCTCATACAAAAATCCAACTCCAAACATTTGTTGAGGAAAAAATCCGCGAAAACATGTCTGCTTTAATTCATCGCGAATATAGTCCCAAAAATAGATCTTTACTATACCTTGGCCTTACTGCATGTTTCTGCTAAAGATGCACTTATTCTAGGACTTTAACTTCGTGCAATCTACCTTACGATCTTTCGTGTTTTATCTTACAGCATTTACACTGATTGGAATACTTGTATTTGCAAGTCATTCTCTGCTTATCTCTTCTATTTTCACAAAACTTCACACTTTTTGCTTATAGATCAATCATTATCAGCTTAAATTATCCCGAACATAGGAAAAACCAGCCATTAAAGATTCGCAAATGTTTATATAGAAAAGCAAAGAAATATGAATTGAATTTATTCAACCTTATCTTTGTTTGATCCGGTTCAAAATGTGTAGCTATAATGCCGTTTTCAAAAATCTAAAGCAATTTGCAATTTGGTTCAAAGAAGAACTTTGACAAAAGCAGTATAAAAGATATACTCGGTACTTTGATTGCAAAACAAGATAAAATTTGGAAAACATTTGCCAAATTTGTGGCTATATCATGCTGTAAATATGAAATGAAAATCGTTTTTCTTTATTCAAAACACCAATTAGTCATGCGAGAACAATTCGATTTGATGCTCAAAACTCGAAAAAGGTCACCAACCTCACTGCTTTTTGCCATATTTTTACCTTTCCTTAAAACTTTTTACTTAATTAATCCCGTAGATTTTTGGTATGCCAAACATACGCCTTTGCACTTATATTAAGTACAACGTCCAGTTTTTTTTAATCTAAGAGCGCTACTGATGTTAAAATTATCCTTGATAAAATATATTATATATTGATCTTTCCAGTATCTCAATTTTGTACATTAAAGCAGAATCATGTATATGAAATTCCATGAATGAAAGTTAGTTAACCCAATAAATAAATGAGTTAATATTCGCAAGTGAGAAAATTTGTAAACACCCATTAATTAATACGATTTGACTTAGGACTAACATATATCTTTACTTTTCACAACTCTCAGTCATATAATTATTGAGAGCTGGATTAAGAAATGCTGTACTTATGCATAATTATTAGAACTCTAAAGTTTATTAAACATATGTGCAATTATAGATGAAGAAATTAAACATACTAAATTGGAAACAATGCAACCTCAAATATAGAGAGTTAATACATCTATAATTGTAAAGATCTCTAACCCTATTTTCTAAGAAAGAAAAATATTGTTAAAAGCATATTATTTAAACTTATATTTACTTATTTACCTACATCTAGTACTTGTTCATTGCCTCTCTTATGGAGTTTTTCCTGCCAAACAAGCAGTCTATATACACAATCATTTTCCAATCCTTTATACCAATGCACTGTTAATTTCCCTAAAGGAGTTTATATGGCTATCTCAAATCTTGTTGAAGTTCATCTTTTATCACTATATTTTTTCCGATCAATCTACAGCTTATAATCTCAATTCTCAATGCTTTTTGTGCGGGGCCCTGTCGCTGAAAATTTCACATTGTTATATAGATTCACTAAAATATCAATATATCAAGTTGTTATAGATTGGTCAAAATAGTACAGAAATAAATTTAATACCATGATGATGTTGTAATCTTGCTTGCTTCAGAGACTTGAGATTTTGATCGAGTTTCATTTGGTAGAGGAGATGTACTTGGTGAAGGATAATCATCATCTTCAGTTCTAGAGTCATCATCGCCTTCGCCGTGCAGTTTCATGTGTTTTCTCAACGAACTTGGGTGAGTATAACTCTTCCCACAACTGTTTATCCTACATGTGTAAGGCTTATCAGAGGTGTGGACGTGAGAATGTTTCTTTCGATCACTAGAGTTCGCAAAACGTCTATCGCAATTCGGAAAATCACAGACGAAGGGCTTCTCACCGGTGTGGGTACGTTTGTGTATCTTCAGATTTTCCGATCTCGCAAAGAACTTTCCACAACCGCGAAACGGGCATGCAAACGGTTTCTCTCCCGTGTGAACACGAATATGATTCACAAGTTTGTACTTTGCTTTGAAAGGAAGGCCATTTCGAGCGCAATTCTTCCAGTGGCAAACGTGAAGGGATGAATCATTCTGGCTTACATGATCATCGTTGATATGACGGACAATATCGTGCATCATGGAGAACTGCTTGCCGCATGGTTTGCACTTTGGAAAATACTGTGGATCGATCCATTCGCAGGTTAGTATTTGATGTTGTGGTCTAGGAGGGTACACGAATGGTCCTTGATGTTGGAAACCTGCGTCACAGCCCTGGTATAAATACATGCCTGTATCTGCAGGATTTTGGAAAAGATAGTGAGATCTCACCATGTCTGGTTCTGAAGGGTAAATATTACTGCCACCCGGCTTGTGCTCTGTTTTGCCAGGATAAACTAAGGAGTTGCAAGAGCTGCCGTGAATATTTGGCTGGGTTGTTGGAGGAAAAAGAGTTGGACATGACGGTTGGAACATCGAGTTATGCGATTGTTTGTAGAGAGTCGGGATATACTCGTGGTTTGGATGCTGATCTCGGCCATGAGAACGTTCATAGGGGCCGGGAAGATGATGATTTTGTGACGTCCACGGTGGGGGAAAGACGTAAGGTTGGGATGTGAATGATGGCCGGTTATCTGATAAGTTCTCTGTAAGTCGTGTACTGACTGGCGGGAGATGAGGGAATATTGGAACACTTGGTTCAATATGGTTGTATATTGGATCTTTAGTCATGCCACTTACTTCAGACGAGTGAGAAAATCCGGTGCTTTGATTGCCAATGATGCGTTGATATGCCGATTCCATAACCTTCGTGCCGTGTGTAACTTCCTTTCAACTCTTCGCTGTGAGAATGCTGGGCTTCACTGTTTTCCACTTTCTGTCAAAACAGCGTAGCGAGTGTAAAACTTGAGGAGGCGTTCTTTACATATGTGTCCCTGTGACGAGATCTTATGATTGATTGCTGGACGTCAAAATGAGATGCAATTCAATTCAGAGCAATCACTCAACACCAGCGGATTAAAACACTAGGAATCGTCACTTAGTGTTGTGCCGCTTTTCCAACCTTGCGCACACGACGAACAAGAGGCTGCCTTAGTTTATCTCGTGTAAAGACTGGGAATATAATTCATATGAGCGTTGGCTTCCAGTTGGTCTAGTTGGGTAAATGGCACCTGTAGGCTTAGTGAATATACCGTGAACACCTCAGTGTGTGTTGATTGTATGAAACAAATGATTAGAAATCAGCACGATATATTTCTTGTTCAACATTGCAAATGAAAAGCAATTTATAACGCCAAGTACTGGGCTTCATACAGTTTTTCATTAGTCAAAAGACAAAGACCTCGCTATGGGGTAGAATAGTATAAAATGTTCCCTTACTTTGATAGTGCGACTTCAAATTTTCCCTTCTCCAACGAGATGAAAAAATGTGAAACTATTAGCCATGAAACGAATATTTCTGCGGGCAAACCGCACGAGAGGTTTCCGGATTAACACATAGGAAATATAACAATCCTAGCGGGATACACTCGCAAGATTTCATGATAAATAATCAATTAGATTCTCTCCTCAAGTTGCAGAAGAACCTAGAGTGTTGCGCGCTGTATCGCTTGTCTTTGCTACGGCCTGATTTGATTTCACACTAGAAGGTGATGTGTTGTAGAACAAATAGTTGAATAAGAGGTCAATTTACGAAGGCGTTAAAATCTCAATTGGATAACCCCTCCCCTTGAGATCTTATCATTTCATGTTAAAAGACCGACAAGTGCCGTGTACTTAGAGCAATAACCATTGTTTCCTGCCGTTCATAACTTTATATCTTTCTCATCAAAACATCAACGTAAGCTTAGTATGATCGCCACAATGCCACAGCGGCTGACATGTTTTCTGCCCGGAGAGAAAAACATCCAACATAAGGGAACTTTGTACGTTGACTTCAGTGCAGGGGGTTCTTACTATTGTATAAATAAAATTAATCTTCTTTACGGAGTGGATAGAATTTTAATTTGTCCGGCCTCCTACTAGTTAGGAGGCGGTGTTGAAAGCATTTGATGTTTGATGAGTAACAGCATACGAGGGAATATAATGTACTAAATTGCATATAACACAGGAAAGATGCGTTCTCGTGTTTGACGAACTAGCAGAGAGTAAGTGTTAGCTTGCTGTGAATATTTTGAAATTGCTAGCTAGGCATGGGATGCAGTATATCGTTAATGTACAGCAGTGATCACAGCTGTGAACTACATGAATTCACAATGATCACTATAAATAACATTTCAATGTTCTTTCTTTCCAACTACATCTCTACATCCTAACAACGCTGCGAGGAAACTCGCCTTCAGCTCACTGTAAACAGTCCGTTGGATCGATGATCGTTTGATTCAGTCGCAATCGGTCTCGCGTAGAAGGTGGGTGTTTTGATATTAGGTTTTGTGTATATACCATTTCCAACACACGCGGAGATACAGTTACAACGCGAAGCGTGACTAATCTAAGATGCTTTCCCGTTAGAACAAACTAATTGATTAATTGCAACTTTTTCTCACACCGGCGAAGCAATATCGAACGTATTGTAAGCAAGCATAAGAATGTTCTCTCAACTTGGTCAATTTACGGTTTGCGGCTGCATAATAATAGAGCGATCTAGGGGAGCAAGTCTCCAGCGTTTTGAATCAATACTTTATTTATAATGAGAGGGTAAAAATAATTTTTGACGCACTCAGGGTTACGCATGTTTAGAAAAATGAAGTGCTGAAGTAATTTTACATATCTTATCACTGTAGTTAATCATTACAACATATTGTTTATCTACACTAAAACAACCATTTGTGATATTGGACGTGAATCGCTGCAGTCACTAAGCATGACCGCTTCGTTCAGTATAGTCATTTGCAGTGCTATTGCATGGCTTTGGCTGTGCCGGAAAATAAAACAAAACACAAATAGAGTGTCAGTACGTACATCATTATGTACTTTATCTAATGTACAATTTGAATCTAATAGATTAACGCAACTGCTTTTGTCTACACGCTAATTGCTGTATTACAGATATACTAAGGTATAAAGATAATAATTGATAAAATCTACTATGTGTTTATCACGACAATGCGGGTTAACCTTTAGACAATGCTAACCTCTACGGAAAATCAATTTAGCTCAGACTGTAAGATGATTATATATTATTATATGACATTGCCCATTGGCAATTTTCCCACGATGAATTGCATGGTGATTTCTTATAACAGTATTCAAACATGCCAGATCAAAATACGACAGAAAATACGGCACATTTCATGCTACACTGGGCAGCGAGAGTGCGTTTCATACGCTGCAAACTCGTTGGTTCAAACATATTCGCGCCTTTCGTGGATTATAATACAGACTAAACCAGTTATTAACACTGAGATACGGATATTGTGTATATAATTATACCATCAAAGATGAATAGGTTTGCTTGTGCCAGTATGTAGTCTCGTGGCATTTTTTTAATAGTTTATGCTGATGAGATCTTTGTTAATTAACTTGAACCTACGAACCAGCACATGTCACATTATCAACACAAAATTTTCGGACATCGATGGATTTTGGCGCATATAATCATCTAATAAAGGCATAGTAACAGCTCGATCATTTCAACGTGCATTGAGTCATATATACATATAACTCGTTTACATAGTACCAGATTCTCTCCTCACGACCCTTCGTTTGCCCTTATAGAGCAATGCTTATTAAATTGAGATATCTATATAGATGGTATATTTATAAGGTATATATAACTATAAGGTCTCGGAAATAGAATTAGCTACAACCTTTTAATAACCACAAAATTCTAACCTGTTCCGATAGCAATTCGGCATGGTCAGTATATAGTAAAGGGGGCATATAGACCGGCGATATCGTTAGATACAGTATAATATATTATTTCGATTAGATTCAGAACGTTGGTGAGAAGCGCAACGTCTGAACTAGGCCTAACATGGATACAATACAAATATGGTAATATAAAGTAAAAGAGAGAAAGAACTTTAATGGACATAGTTTATACCACAGAGTGCAGGACATTTTATCTTGTCGTTCAGCTATAGCGATGGCGATGGCGATGGCGATGGTTAACAGCGGCAATTTACTTCTTGTCATACTTATTGGTTTAACAGATTCAAGAAAATCTTCACAGCGTTTCACTACATCTGCATCATAAATACCTACAAAATTGGAGTTATCCTGATGGCACGGATAATGACTGCATTGCAGAATCGGTCGCGATGCTTTGGATCAATGTCACAACATTGTGATAATTGTATTCATGTGGACTGCACAGAATTCTAGTCAACGCGACTAATTTCAGACCATCATCCTTCATAGCTACATACATGTCGATTATATTTGATTTAGGAATGAAAATTCTCCAATATATAGGTCTCGGCATATATACTATTTAGGATTATATTTATATGGATCATAATATGGCAATGCCGGACGCGGAGAGCATGTTTGCTTTATAATTTTTGCAAAATTGAACGTTCCTTACAAAAGGGGGATTATTCTTACTAAAGGAGGTTTTAATTTTTCCCAATGGCATGAGTGTGTAAGAGCTTGTTTATTCTTAAATTAAACGACGCTTGTCGCAGATCTATTTGCTTGACTTCACACATGAACAGTTTTTAGTAAATAGCATTACTTTGATTTTTGAAGTCTTTCCCGACCTTTCTATATAGTTATATCAATCGATATAACTGTATTAACTAGCGTCTAAATACTTATAATATAGCTATAATCCACGAAGGCACTTGATATATAAGATCAATCATTGTAATGTCGCCTTGAACGCGGCTGTATGCATGTATATAGTTTTTCATCGGCATTTCACGCCTCCTGCAGTAAAACTCTTAAAATATTTAACACATTTCGTTTACTATTTCAATCATGACATTGTTAAACGTGCTAAGACGCCTTTTGGGGTTTACCGCAATTTATGCTAAAGAAATGAAATCAAAATCAACTCATCTTACGGTTCGTGTTATAAACAAAAAAATGTTCCTTTCGACGTGAACTTCACCTCTTGTCAACGACTAAGATGATCGTATTTGCTAGTTCTACAATTAACTTTTCGTTTTGAAATTACTTTGTTTTATTTACCTAGCAATCTTACAATATTTTTTTCATTTCACAATATTCAATTCGAATTTTTCAGTGTCCATTATACCACTTAAAAAGCTCTTACATTTAAATACACAGATCATTTTGTTTTGATATCCGTATGAAATCTTCGACAACAGTCCGGCATGGATTGACTGATAGCTATCTTAAAGTACAAATAAAAAGTCTGTCAACACGAAGTGTTTCCCATGCAGACTATGTTATGCACTAGGTATAGACAATGCAGGACATATCCGGTCAAAGTTTGTCAGAAAGGGGACTTGAAAATAAGTGGCCTAATTATAAATTGTTTGATTGCTCGCATAAAAGTACCCTCCTCGAGCACATTCGGAAGTTAGTATGTATTCATGGATTAGAAATTATGGAGATTATGGATAATGTGATTAGAATTTTCGAAAGCCAACACTTATTGATGATATATTATTGTGAAAATTCATGTCACTACCCAATATGCAGTAACGAAAAAAATTTCAGAAGAGACTTATTATGAAACATTTTCTTCATTGCTATTGACAAAAGCGCATCTAGAGATGCATAATTATGTCAGGTATTAGGAAAATACAATTATTTTATCCAGTGAAACAACGCAATGATTATTTTTATCGTAAATCTTATGACCCCGCAGATTGATGTCTTGCCGCGATACTTTTGATTTATTGAAAGCAGTCATTATAATCAAAATTCTGCCAAACCAGGTAAGATGTGTTTAATCGAATTATATTCTAAAATGAATATAATTTTAAGAGCGGTAAACGTTTATTATATAATATTAGACTTCAAATCTTACAAACATCAACATTGAATACCTCTTGATAATATTTTGGCCAATACTAATTTCTGTAGTCATGCATCATCAAATTATCCCAGTCAAAGGGATTGTATGAATATAGTCCTTTTCCA